AGTCACAGCGGCGACACTCTGTGTACGTGAGAGTTCCAGCGTCAGTGACCTTGAGCTGGAGCGTGTATGCGCTAGGGTTGAACTTGGAATTTAGACTTGTGCCAATGAATATTTATGCATAGTAAGTTTTTAAATGTAAACTGATTCAAGGATACTGGGGTAAATAATGAAGGATAGGTTTGATTTTATAATCAATTTTTAATCTTTTAATGTAGGTACTATAACAAATTGCTAACTTTTATATATTTTCTCCTTTTTCGATTCGTTTTATAATTCTTATTATTATCTAAATAATAATAAGATTGCGTAGCGTAGTCAGTCTGTGCGTGCAATGCAGTGCAACGCTATTATTTTACTATTTCGCTACTGCCATCCCTTCGGTCTCGGCAGTCGGCGACTGCCCTCTCCACGCCCCGCGCGCCGCGCAACGCCCCCGCACACCTCCAGACACCCACACATAGCCGCGGGCGATTTTACGAGCACACATGCTTAAGTGTCGCTTCTTTTCGCGTAGTGTATATATTCTGTGCTCGAGTTAATCTAAAAATCCCCGCTTGGGCTCCCCTACTATCAGTAACTTTCGCAATGGTCGAAAACTTATTATATCAAGCTCCTCCGTGCTTCGGAAGGCACATTAACCCGTTGGTCCCGGCTGCATCTGCGGTCGTTAGCACCCACCAATCCGCATTGGGCCAGCGTGGTGGGTAACGGCCTACTCGAGCACAGCAGTATAGGCTGATGATGATGATGAATGAGGAGCTCGATGGCGCAAGTGGTTAGCGCGTTCCGCTGCGATCGTTGAATTTTAGCAACTTTCGCAGTGGTCGGTCATTGGATGGGTGACCGAAAATTTACTATCTCGAGCTCCTCCGTGCTTCGGAAGGCACGTTAAGCCGTTGGTCCCGGCTGTATCTGCTGTCGTTAGCACCCACCAACCCGTATTGGGCCCGCGTGGTGGGTCATGGCCCAATCTCCCTATTCCATTCTTAGGGAAGGCCTGTGCCCCAGCAGTGGGGACATTAATAGGCTGATGATGATGATGATGAATGTAATCCAAGGACTTTGCCACTAAAACGCGCAAATTTAAAATATAGAAAGAAACTTGATTAAAAAAGAAGATCCTTAAACCTGCAGTATGTCTACCATCCTTTAAAAGGACGCTGTCAAAAAAAACAGCAGCAGCACAGCCTTTAAAAGGTTAACGATACGATGGCGATAGCGATACGAAGTGATTTTGCTTTGTAAAAAGGAAATATAAAAGAAACGCCGCTTTATGCAAAATAAAAATATATTTATTGTCGTATCACATGTATTGGTCAAATAAGTATAGAGAATATTGTACAATGTGTATTATCACGCTTATAACCCAAAACCTGAGGCATGATAAAAAATTTTTTTTTTTATTATTTTAAACTGATAAAAAGTTACATTATCATAACTTTTTTTTAAACCTACAGATCATATTTTTAAGACTTCTAACTTTCATAAACTCAAACTCATTTATTAAATCTAGGCTGTTACAAGCTCTTGTGAAAGTCAAACGCTATCGGTTCGTAAATCTACGGCGGGAGACCTTGTACTGAGAAGAACCGCCACGAAAGTCAGCAGGGGCTATATTTTTTCCCCCTGTTTTGTTTCATACAGTGTCGTCAATTGAAAGATGACATCAAAAATTGAAAATGTGTTGATTTCAACTTCCATCACATTAATGTTATTAATTAACAAAAGTTAAGTATAGCTAGGTACTATTTTTAAATTTAGAAGTGGCGCTTAATCATTTTTCAACCAAATAAGCAAAGTAAAACGACTTAGTCTATTATATTAAGCCCAAGGTGACTCACCATTTATGAAATCTTTAACAGTATAGTAACCTTTCTTAAGGAGACATGTTTTTATACACACTTTTAACTAACTAAAAGGTAAATTAATTATTTCTTTTGGTATTTTATTATAATAACATATACCTTGACCCACAAATGAACCAAGAACCTTTTGGAGTCTCACAGTCATATGATCTAATCCCTCAAAACATTTTCAGATTTTGCGTTATTTCAAGGACCATTATAATACACGTTGTCAATTATATAATATAATTTACTATTAATGCAAATTAGTCTAAAAAATAATATTCTTATTACTAGTGATATGCAGTTAGTAGGTAAAGCACTATATCTATATATCTAGCAATATCCGTAACTATACTGTAAATGATCTTATTCTATTATTTAATGTTAAAATGTTCTATAATGTTTAAATTCGATTTCATGATAACGTTCAATATATCCGTTTAAAATAATCATCCATCCACAGAGTCAACATTAACTTCACTTGCAAGTCTTATTAAAGTTGGTACTGTCACTACGCAATAAATAAGAAACCGCATGAATTAATGAAGCATTAATAATATAATGGACATTTCTGAGTACCCTCTATAGATATCATCAGTAAAAACTGATGGAGTCTGTGCGGAAAGAGAATGGGATTTAGATTGGAGGGCGCTGTAGTGCTTTTCTACCGTATTTGTAAGGTTTTACCCCTTTTAGATATGATTAAATACAAAAACCGCAAGAAATCACAACAACAAACAAATCCGTATCAATACAAAAGTTTGACGTTTTACAGATTGCTGGGTTTGATTGCCAAATAAAAATCTTAATGTTAGTTCCGTTTTACGCCACGCCCATTCTCTTTCCGCACAGACTCTACTCTAACTTTTGAGTTTTCATTTTAAAGCAATAGTATATAAAAATATCATTGTGTTATACTTTCTATACTATATATAATAACTCTTTACAAAAATACTAAGCGGTAAATCACTTATGAAGACTAACTTAAAAAATCACGTAATAATTGTGGATAGATCAGCTGTATTATTATTAATTAATTAAGTTTCAAACTGGATAAAGCAAATTTGATATAATTATTTGAATTCATTGTACATAATACATTCATGATTAAACATAAAAATTCTCTTTTTTTTGTTTGTAATAAAATTAATTATTTTTTTTTTCTCATTGGATAATCACTTTTTATTAATTACAATTACTAAATACAAGAAAGTGGAGTTTCAAGGTTCATAAAAAATTAGCTCATAATATAATATCAAATACAAAACAAACAAGAAAAACACAGTGTTCTGTAATATTGACTCAAAATGGTAATATAAGTAATAAAGTTATTTCCATCCATAGTTTAATACCTGGAAAATTACTTTAATAGGGATGATGGCTAATTTTTTTTTCTACGTTTATCAGGTAGATTATCAAAAAGTATTGGACACGTATTTTTTCTTTTTTCACATAATATAAACATTCCAGAGATATATTGATTTGAAAAGTCGCATGACGTCACGTTTTGGTACAATTTTCACTTAAAAGTGACGTCACGAGCACCTACTCCCAAACTTTGACGAGCTATAACTTTGTCATTTTTTGGTTGATTGCCCAAAGAAAAAATACGTGTCCATTATTTTTTGATCATCTAACTGACGGACTAAATAGAATTTCGTTCGTTTACTCTACCCCGCCATCACCCCTATTATATATACCTATTCATACAATTATCCAATCTCTATTCCCCTTATTAATAGACGAGGAATTAGTTGGGATTAGTTACACCGTGTTTTGTTCATACCACTCAAAAGTCACTTGTCATTCGATGAACAGAGACAAAACATGTAGTAACTAATCCAAGATTATTGTTCGTTTATTGATAAAGGAGTAAGTGTATAAAAAAACTAAGTCAAAAACATAAGTAAAAGAACTGTAGACAGATTCTAACGTAGTTATCAGAATTGAGTCTTAGAACACACAATGAAATGAGAGCCTTATCGACTTTAGGCATACAGTTGAAATTGGTATAAAAGAAAGCACCACTCGATAAAATTTGTGACAGCAATTTCAATTCGATGTTAAGTTTGCCGACAGATTTTTATATACAGAACATAAAATATAATATAAAATTTCCATGTTTGAAATAAAAAGAAGATACTTTTTTCTCACAACATTTAGTATTTTTGTTAAATTCAGCGACAGATCTGTATTCGAGAATATAAGAAGGCAGTCATTAACGTATAAAAACAAGTAGACTCACAATCGCGCTCAAAAAGTGTCGGAAGCAAAATTACGCACACGATCAGTTGTGCGTAGATTTCAAAACATCGTGATTCGACCGCTCTTTGATAACAACACCACGCAATGAATCCATGCTCGGTTAAAAACTATCGAATGACACCAGGTCCACACTTGAAAAACATGGCAGTGTCGAATTACAGGTACGTGGTGTCGATTTTGGCATGATCCTCTGAACGTAAACTAAAATTTGACAACAGTGTATCCTTGTCATTCTCTATACAGAATGAAAAGGAGATACTTATGTTAAATTTACGTGTTCCCTCCTTCTCACAAGCTAGGATCCTTTAAAAGAGGCGTGAAGAAGCAACTTGCAGGCCGGCAGGGTGAGGATGGCTGGTGTGGCAGGTAGAACTGCTGTGCCAGCTATCTTCACGTCTAGACCTTACCGTCACTTAACATCAGGTGGGGTTGAGTCATTTGTCGGACCTATATTTAAGTAAAATTGTTTCAAGTTTCATTAATCATGCCAGAATCGACAAACAAATTTTATTATTATTATATTTACAAATTTATGCAACTACCTCGGCATTTTCTATCATATTGTTAATAGTCATTATTTAGTTGATACAACAAAATATCTCTCCTCGCATGTATGTCTCTTTCGCACCGTAATCAAACTCTATCTCTCACGTATACATTTTTTTATTATTTTTTATTCTGGCATGATTCTCTAAACCTAAAACTAAATTCGTGTCTTTCTGTATTCCTGAAGGTTGACTGGCAGAGAATGCTTTTAGCGTTCGTCGTATGTCCGCCTTTAATCCATTTTGTAATTGTGCCAATAAAGTTTAAATAAATAAATAAATTTGTCAACAGTCTTTCCTAATCATTCTCTATACAGAATCAAAAGGAGAGAATGGTGTTAAATTTAATTTTCAGTTTAGAAAATACAATCAAGGGCATTATAATCTTTATAAGTTGATGTATAACACACAGCGTCACGCCGCTCGGACGTTATTAATGCACTTTTTTCAGGCGATTAGGAATTTACTTATTTTTATACGTCAATGTAGGTAGAAGAACCTGTCGTTATATTATCACAATTATTACTACAAAAACTTCATAGGACAACGTCATATTTCTAAGTCACTTTTTTATTCGTAAAAAAATAAAAATGATACTAACTGATTTTGCACGTCTTTGATAGACAAGTATACTTGAATCTGCATTATCACCTTACTGTTATGTAAATAAGGCATAAAGTTAACTTATATTAATTGGGCCCCATTCTGAGATGTCAACTAACTTTTAAGCTTGATTAAAATTGGTGATGCGACAGTTATAAAGGTATATTCAGTTATATACAATTTATATAAACCCATACTACATGACAAGTAAAGTATTTTATTATTTTGAATGTTGCGAAAACAATAACAGAAGAATGAATATAATTATAGAACACTGTATTAATGAAGCATTAAATTAAATTGACATCTGTAAGTATGGGTGATGGCGTATTAATCCCAATGTAGATAGTCTTCAAATTATGATAAAAAAACATAATTTTGCACTGAATGTGCTCATCAAAGGGTCAACAAGTTGTTGTTTCAACAAGTTTGCTGTGCCAAACTATTGTCGCTAAGAATCTATGTTAAATTTTATAATAATACTGAGTAAAATTAAAATAATAAAATACAAGCGTCAAAGTGTTAAAACAATATCAGTTATAAAATTGGTCATTAATAAAATCACCTAAGTATGTATAATTATATATTCTTAACTTCTTTATAGGATTGATAATTTCTCAGTTGAATCATATGATTAAAAATACTTCTTTTTGTATCATTATCCCAAATATTAATAAAAAAATCCATAACAAAAGTAACGGAGAGTATTATTGAAATATTTACCCTTTTACTCTCAGAGACGAGTAATAGAGGCAGCACGATGATGATTTAAATATAAATATCAAGCTATAAAATTGTAATTTAAGCATTACCCATAAATTAATAAGCTTTATTTGTCATAAGAATCCAAAGTGCAATAATTTACTTACTTTAAACCTTATTGTTATAAGATTAGGGTCGTAAATTAAATAGTCATTACATATAAAATAGTTCCTACTGAGTAATTTACATCAAAGTGCAGTAGATGTGACCGACTTGAGCCCCCTTACTAGTATGGTTGGAGAGAGATCTTTCGTGAATTCGTCTAAAATCTGTAAAAAAAAACATTACCATAAACATTTATAATTAGAAACAAGTGCTTCTTTAAGTTGATGACCTCCGTGGCCGAGTGCTTTATACGCCGGGTTTCATGGTGTCGCCGACTCGAGGTCCCGGGTTCGAATCAATTGGGAGGGGCAAATGTTTGTGTGATGAATGCTAGCATTTGTACTCCAGTCATGGATGTTTAAATTTTCTATATAAATATACTTATATATGTATTCTATCCGTTACCCGAGTATCCCATAACACAACCCTTAGAGCGCTTACTTTGGGGCTAGGCTAATTGGTGTGTGTTTAGAGAAAAAATCATATGTATAATACATTCCATAGAACAAAACTATAGTCTTCACCGAAGCGAAGCGAGGCGGGCGAGCGGGTCATTAGTTAATAATAAAACAGTTATAGTTACCTTTAAATATTGTTCGCAGACGGCGTCTGAAGCTGCCGCGGGTGGTGGTGGAGGTAATTGCACGAACGTCACTGCGGTGCCGTCGGCGCAACGATGCTTTATTATATTATTCACGCTAGATACGCAAAAATCAAAAGATTTTGTTTCAATCACAACAATTTAGGTAGGTATGAATAACCCGGAATTGGTACTTTAGAAGTAACTAAACAACGTTATTATATAATTTACAATTTAAGTAAACAACATATAGTCCAGGCAACGAATGCTCAAAAACAGGTATAGAGGGAATTGCTTAGAACACAATTTTTGACTTCGTGACTTTGTTAGGACTAGTTAGGAGGTAAACATATCAAAAGTCCCCGCCCGTAGCCCTTAAGCCGGGGGGAGGGGGGGGGGGGGGCTTGAAGGTCCCATTTTTAGGGTTTTCGCATATATCTCGAAAATTATGCATCCTAGCGACATAAGACTTTCACAAAAGTGAAAGCTGATTCAATTTGCTACAAGTCTTATTCAGTCAAATTTTTTGATATCTTGTATAGTTTTCGAGATATCCGCTCTTGAAAGTCTGTAATTACGGAAAAAAAAATTTGTTCCCATTTTTGCTCTATTTGACCGGATAACTCTTCAACAATGCACCCAAAAAATAAATGCCGGCCGTAGGGTTGTAGAGCATTAAATTATCTTCAATAATAGAAACAATTGCCTTTTTTTATTTTATTTAAGGACAAAATTGTTAGTGTAGTAGACGTATGGGGGCGGTACGGTGGGCACTAGGCCGCGTACTCAGCCCCCACGCGCGGGCCGTCCTGCGCACGTCTGTGGGGTCCTCGCGATACCCCGGGAGACCCCTGCCGCGGAACCTCGGCAAGGCCGGGAGGCTGCTAGGTGCGGAGACGCGAAGAATCCCTAAACGGGGATTCCGCGGCTTCGCACTAAGCAGCTTAGAGGGTGTTCGCAGGGTTTTTTAGCGGATATTATGCCGTATAGCGCCCGTAAGGGTTACGGGGTCCTCAGTGGGCAGCCACTGCTGGGGCTCGTAAGGCTTGCGGGAGCCAGGTGTGAGGTCCGTTCGGCGGTGTGCCTCTTAAAGGCGCCGTCGTCTGTAAATAGTATTTTTTGCCTGCGTATAAAAAAAAAGGGTAGTAGACGTATTGACTAAAGGGGGTGTCCTGCGTTCCTGTTCCCCAGCGTGCCAAAATTGCCAGGGGAACTGCTTGAATGGGGTCCCTCAAGTTGACTCCGAAGGTGAAGAAGAACAGGAGGATCCTCTGACCGTTTCCCTACAGGGTTCCGATGGAGAAAATGACACAGACAAAGAAAATGTAAACGAAGACGAGGATCAAGGTCCTTCCCACCCCAAAAGAGCAAGAAATTAACTATATTGGATTTTTTTACAAATCTCTTTTTGCACGTCATAGTGAATTGTATCGAAAACTGCTGCCGTATTCGTACCTGTATAGCCAATGAGAACCGGAAAAAAACCAGAGGCACAGGGCCCTACCGTCTCAATTTTTTTTAAAGTCCAGTTTTATAATTTTAATCATTCTTAATACTACTTTTTGTGTTGAGCTGGACCAATACAACACCAGACAATCTTATCATTTAAATAATCATCTAATTTATAATAACCTTTTTTGCATAAAGTAGTTAACTCTTGCAGTTTTTTAAACTTATTTTCTGGATTGTGTGAAGAACCTGGTCAGTGGGCCAACAAGTACATATTCTAAAATGAGCATGTGTGCTATTTAGACATCGGTGCATCGTTAAAGAGTTATCCGAGAGTTATCCGGTCAAATAGAGCATAAATGTAAAGCATTTTTTTTTTCTATAATTACAGATTTTCAAGAGCGGATATCATTATTACAGATATTATTATTAGATAATTACAGTTTCTCAATGACACTAATTTACTTTCTTTTTTACTTATGGACCTCACACCTGGCTCCCGCAAGCCTTACGAGCCCCAGCAGTGGCTGCCCACTGAGGACCCCGTAACCCTTACGGGCGCTATACGGCATAATATCCGCTAAAAAACCCTGCGAACACCCTCTAAGCTGCTTAGTGCGAAGCCGCGGAATCCCCGTTTAGGGATTCTTCGCGTCTCCGCACCTAGCAGCCTCCCGGCCTTGCCGAGGTTCCGCGGCAGGGGTCTCCCGGGGTATCGCGAGGACCCCACAGACGTGCGCAGGACGGCCCGCGCGTGGGGGCTGAGTACGCGGCCTAGTGCCCACCGTACCGCCCCCATACGTCTACTACACTAACAATTTTGTCCTTAAATAAAAAAAAAAGGCAATTGTTTCTATTATTGAAGATAATTTAATGCTCTACAACCCTACGGCCGGTATTTATTTTTTGGGTGCATTGTTGAAGAGTTATCCGGTCAAATAGAGCAAAAATGGGAACAAATTTTTTTTCCATAATTACAGACTTTCAAGAGCGGATATCTCGAAAACTATACAAGATATCAAAAAATTTGACAAAATAAGACTTGTAGCAAATTTAATCAGCTTTCACTTTTGTGAAAGTCTCATGTCGCTAGGATGCATAGTTTTCGAGATATATGCGAAAAACCTAAAAATGGGACCTTCAAGCCCCCCCCCCCCCCCCCCCCGGCTTATGGGCTACGGGCGGGGACTTTTGATATGTTTACCTCCTAACTAGTCCTAACAAAGTCACGAAGTCAAAAATTGTGTTCTAAGCAATTCCCTCTATACCTTTTCGTTGCCTGGACTAATAAGTATGATATGGACACGAATAGACTTTTATTAAGGGAAGCTGAAATCAAGCGACATGAATAAAATAATGCCAAATTTTTAAATCATAAAAACAGGGACAAAATTGAATTAACACATTAATGAAATATTATAACCAACTTTTAAGAAGGGGGAGGTCCTCAATACTGCTATATATATATACCTCATAGCCCGGAGATTTGTAGACGGATTTTGATAATTGATGATGATGATTTGATTTTCCAATAACTATTCGGTGTCCTATGACTGGCAGTTTACCCTAATTTATAGGAAAATACCTATCATTGATGATACCTGTTCTAAATATTGCTTCTCGTGTGTCAACATCTCGTTTGTTATACTAGATTTTAAAAGATCAATTATGCGTTTCATTGAATTGAATTGAATAACCAAATAAACGAAAGTATCAAAACCCACCTACCCAATAATTCGCCAATTCGTAGTGTCAAAGTGACAGTTCCAATGTTGCCAACTTCAAAATCTTAAAAATTGGAGTTTCACGATTCATAAGACAGACTCTTATCATCATATTACAAAATAACTATTACATCACCACTAAAACTTATGGACGTCCTAAACACTATTTTTTAAAATTATTATTATTTATATTTGCTTTGAGGAGCTCGATGGCGCAGGTGGTTAGCGCGTTCGGCAGCGATCGTTGTAGTTAAGCAACTTTCGCTGTGGTCGGTCATTGGATGGGTGACCAAAATTTTCTATCTCGAGATCCTCCGTGCTTCGGAAGGCACGTTAAGCCGTTGGTCCCGGCTGCATCTGCAGTCGTTAGCGCCCGCCAATCCGCACTGGGCCAGCGTGGTGAGTCATGGCCCAATCTCCCTATTCCATCCATAGGGAAGGCCTGTGCCCCAGCAGTTGGGACATTAAGAGGCTGATGATGATGATATTTTGCTAACAAGTATGTATATTCATTCAATCTACTCACGTTTGTAAATAGCTCAACGGCACTCGTTGGTACACGTTGCTTTCGTCGGAATCACTGTCGGTTGTCCATTTGGACTCCTGTAGGGCCGGCCATTCTGTCACCTGCATGTATTGAATATCATAAATCACCTGTGTTAAATTATCTCTTATCTATTAGACAAGTCCGTCCGTCCGTCTGTCTGTGGTGCTGTTTCAGCGGCCAAACCGTAAGAGATAGATAAAGAGAATATTTAAGTTATAAGTTAAGAATAGTCTGATAAGACTACAAACCGGATTTGAGTAAGGTAGCACTTCCGGTTTTCGAGAAATCACGAATTTCAAACGAAACCACAGAAAATCTCCGAAGTTCTCAATTAATTAAATACATTTGGTGAACATTTGGTTCACTGGTTTGCTAGTCTATACTAATATTATAAAGAGGAAAGATTTGATTGTTTGTTTGTATAGAATAGGCTCCGAAACTACTGGATCGATTTGAAAAATTCTTCCACATTTAGAAACCTACATTATCCCTGATGAAAATAGGCTATAGAGTATTTTCAAAAAAGTTAGGGTTCCGTATGAAAAATTTGATAGTGTAATCCAGGGTGTGAAAAAAATTACCAAAAAAAGAACCTTATATCGCTTACGCTGCGGAAGTCATTGTCAATAGAGCAAAGTGATGTTCTAAAGTTTTATAGAGGACATAAATATCTACAAGAAAGTCCGCGATATCATAATAATATGTCTAATTAATTTTAATAATATAAATTATATGATAGCCGTGTGAGTCCTTACAGCCATACTTCGAAAAGTAAATAAACTTTCAAGTTTGATTAATTTAAGTTTGTTCTCGTACGGTCTGCAATCGTTAAAGTTAAGCAACTTTCTCTTTGGCTGGTCTTAGGAAGTTAGACGTTAAAGTTTGATAAACAAATAAAACAACACTGTCTGTCAACTCACCTTGTAAGTTGTGGCGTCTATTCTTAGCAATTGCAGCAGTTCATCCAGCCCCTGTAAGGCTCTGGCGTCATAGAGGGACTCGCATCTATATAACGAGGAAAAAACACTGTGTGTCTGTCAACTAACCGTATATGTGGTGGCGTAGACATTCTAAGCAGTTCATCCAGCTTCTGTTAGTCTACGACGTCATAGAGTGACTCGCATCTATATAACGAGGAGAAAATACTGTGTGTCTGTCAACTCACCGTATGTGGTGGCGTTTATTCTAAGCAGTTCTAGCAGTTCATCCAGCTTCTGTTAGTCTCTGGCGTCATAGAGGGGCTCGCATCTATATAACAAGGAGAAAAACACTGTGTGTCTGTCAACTTACCGTATCAGTGGTGGGGTCTATTCTAAGCAGTTTGAGCATTTTATCCAGTTTCTGTACGTCTCTGACGTCATAGAGGGGCTCGCATCTATATAACAAGGAGAAAAACACTGTGTGTCTGTCAACTTACCGTATCAGTGGTGGCGTCTATTCTAAGCAGTTTGAGCATAGACTAAAGGGAAAGAACAAAAAAATGCAGGCTAGAGTCTGGGTGTATTCCGTAATATATACCAGTATACTGGCCAGTGCTAATGACGTCATGAATCGACGCTATACTGGTGAATTGTTCCCAAATATATTGGCCAGTGCACTGACGTCATAAATCGACGAAATATTAAAAATAGTGCGAATAAAGAAGATTTTTTATTCACCTCATCAGCAGTAGTAGCAGCAGTTCTAGCAGTTCATCCAGCTTCTCTTAGTCTCTGGCGTCATAGAGTCACTCACATTTATATAACTAGGAGAAAAACATTGTGTGTCTGTCAACTCACCGTATATGTGGTGGCGACTATTCTAAGCAGTTCTAGCAGTTCATCCAGCTTCTGTTAGTCTCTGGCGTCATAGAGTCACCCACATCTATATAACGAGGAGAAAACACTGTGTGTCTGTCAACTAACCGTATAAGTGGTGGCGTCTATTCTAAGCAGTTTAAGCATTTTATCCAGCTTCTGTTCGTCTCTGACGTCATAGAGGGGCTCGCATCTATATAACAAGGAGAAAAACACTGTGTGTCTGTCAACTTACCGTATCAGTGGTGGCGTCTATTCTAAGCAGTTTGAGCATAGACTAAAGGGAAAGAACAAAAAAATGCAGGCTAGAGTCTGGGTGTATTCCGTCATATATACCAATATACTGGCCAGTGCTAATGACGTCATGAATCGACGCTATACTGGTGAATTGTTCCCAAATATATTGGCCAGTGCACTGACGTCATAAATCGACGAAATATTAAAAATAGTGCGAATAAAGAAGATTTTTTATTCACCTCATCAGCAGTAGTAGCAGCAGTTCTAGCAGTTCATCCAGCTTCTGTTAGTCTCTGGCGTCATAGAGTCACTCACATTTATATAATAAAATAAAATAAAAAATAAAAAGCCTTTTATTTCTTGCATAGAAGGTAAAGAAAAATACAATAATTGTTTGAATATCATTGAATTGTGCTAATTATAATGTAATGTAATGATGTAGGTGCTTGTTATAATTAAATAGAATTTACATGCATGTTGTGGTAAGTTGCACTTGATATAAAAATAAATTGGAGATAATTATTAATTGGTTGTTAAAATAATTAAATTGATTAAAATAAATACAAATTAATTAAAATCATGCAAAATTATAAATTATTGAAATTATTTTACATTTACTTATTGGGATTTAATTTGCAAGAACCCCTACACAGGTAAAGGCCTCCTCCAAAGAATGCCATTTGTCACGGTTTTTTGCCAGTTCCATCCACTTGGGCCCGGCTAGTTTTATTATCTCGTCTTCCCATCGTGCCACGGGTCTGCCTCTTCTACGTTTACCGTACGGTCCCTTCCATTCTGTTATTTTTGAGGTCCACCTTTCGTCTTGAAGTCTAGCAATGTGGCCGGCCCATTTCCATTTTAATTTTTGAGCGTGGTGTAAGGCGTTAGTCGATTTTGTAATGGCACTTATTTTTGAGTGGTTCACTTTCTGAATTTTCTTTATGTTCAACATACTGCGTTCCATTGCTCTTTGACAGCTTACTATTTTTCTTTTTACTTTAGATGTAAATTTCCAAGTTTGGCACGCATATGTTAAACATGGGAGAAGACACGACTGCATTACCTTGGTTTTTGTATTGACTTGCATGTTGCTTTTAAAAATTTCTTTCATACTCCAGTACTTGTTCCATGTGCTTTGAATTCTTCTTTCTATTTCTAGGTCGTTATTATTCCTGTTAAATCCTATTTGCTTGCCAAGGTACACATATTGTTGTGCATAATTAAGAGACTTATTATCCACAAAAATCTGTTTCCTTGTACTATTAGTCATAAGCATTGTTTTAGAAAAATTCATCTCGAGGCCCACTCGCGTACTGGCTATGTGTAGTTCATTTATCATGTTTTGTAATTCCGGACTTTTTTCAGACAACAGTACTAAGTCGTCAGCAAAGCGGAGATGGTTAAGATAGTGTCCTTGTATTTTTATTCCTTTGGCTTTCCAATCTAAATCGCTAATTACTGTTTCTAGTACTGCAATGAAGAGCGACGGAGAGAGTGGGTCCCCCTGTCTGACGCCTCTTTTTATGGGGAAACTTGGACCTGTTTTTTCGAGTTTGACTCTGCTTGTGCTGTCGCTGTATATACTTTTGATTACCTGTATGTACTCACTTTCTACGTTTTGTGATTGTAACGTGTCCCAGATACTTTTATGTGAGACTGAGTCGAAAGCTTTCTGGTAATCGATGAAAGCGATGTAGAGTGGCCTGTTATGTTCTTGATACTTTTCGATAAGCAGTTCTAAAGTATGTATATGATCTACTGTTGAAAACCCTTTTCTAAAGCCCGCTTGCTCTATTGGTTGCTTACTTTGCAAGTTTGAACTGAGTCTCTTGTTGATAATAGATGAAAAAAGTTTATAAATAGATGGTAACAAGCTTATTGGCCTATAGTTTCCAATATCACATGGATCGCCCTTCTTGTACAACAGGATAATGTCGGAGTGTGACCATTGACACGGTGTCATTCCAGTTTTTAATATGAGATTAAACAAACGTGTCAATGGTAGAGCTAAGATTGTGTCGGCTACTTTTATTGCTTCGTTTGTAATATTGTCGGAGCCAGGACTTTTATCAAATTTTAATATTTTCGTTGCAGATATAATTTCGAGTTCATCTATTAATTTTATTTCTCTTGTTCTGTGTTCGCTGCTCCCTTGCCTCTTGTTTTGACAGGCGGCTCTTAAATCATTCATACTATAAAGATCTTTGTAAAATTCTGTAGCAGTTTCTATGATTTCGTCTCGACTATGTACTTTTTTTCCTGAGCGACTTAGACCATCTATCCAAACTTTCTTTGTTCGTAGTTCCTTATAAGCCTTTTTCGTGCCACCTGTTTGTGTAATGTGCTTTTGCAATGTTTTTTGTCTGTGTTGCTTGTAGTCTCTTTTTATATATTTACTAATTAGTTTGTACAGTGCAGAAAGCTCATTTTTCATTGATCTAGTTTTATGTTTTTTCCTTTGTAGTTCTTGCCTTCTTTTGATAAGTATAGATGTTCGTTCAGATATAACTGTCGGTTTTCTTTGCTGGTGGTTTATTTTTGCATCCACGAGACTTTTAGTTATTGCGTTTAAAATTTTATCGTAATAAGACTGTACTGACTCGGGTTCCTGGTATATTATATCTCTTATATTATCTACTAAATATTTCCTGTATATAATTATTTCCTCTTCACTTTTAAGAGAGCTGATATTAGCAGATGTATAATTTACTCTACTTTTCTTTTGTTTTCTTAGTGTTATTGCAGCTCTTAATGGTCTATGATCTGAGGGGTAGTTCAAGTTCAGTGTTTCTAAATTCATAAACATATTTGGATTGTTTGATAATATAAAATCAATTTCATTTCTATGTTGTCCATTTGGTGATTGCCAAGTCCAGCGACGGCCAGGTCTTTTTTTGAAGAAAGTGTTCAGAATGGAAAATTTATTTTCAAATGCAAAATCCACTAAGCGTTGCCCTCTATTATTCCTTTGGCCATAACCATGTTGTTTCATTATCAAGTATTCATTTTGTTTTGTGTGTCCTATTTTCGCATTGAAGTCGCCCATTATTATAATAATTCCGTGTGCGCTTTCCATAGCCTTATATAGTATTGTGTAGAAATGATCTATTTCATTTTCAGCTGCTGCTTCTGTTGGTGCATAGGCCTGAATGATGGTTATTTTATTTCCTTGTAAGCTCAGGTTTAAAACCGCGACACGTTCTGTGATCCCATAGAAGCTTTCGATGGCGTATTTCAATCTTTTACTGATGATAAAGCCTACTCCGTAATTGCCTGGTGTTTCTCCCATATAACAAAGAATAAAATCTTCATACTCTTCTATTTTTGTTCCGAGTCTTCTTACTTCTGATACACCAATTATATCGTATTTTATGTGTTTTATAGAGTCTTGTAATTCGATTAGCTTTTCATGTGAAGAAAGAGTTCTCACGTTGTATGTTATTATATAGAACTTAGTGTAGTTCCTTATCTTCTTTGGAGGGTTAAGGTCTTTATCTTCCTCGGTGACCAGCCGGCTTGGAAGATGTAATTCGAAGTTTTTTATCTTATTATTCAATGTATGTAATGTAGAGGGGTGCGCTGGTTGCTATATTTCTGTGTTGTTTTCGTCTTGTAAGGTACTTTTTTTGTTTGTGTTTTTGTTTATTAGGAAATTGAGCATGCCTGTTTTTGAAGCTCCTTCTGAAAAGCTCGCTGATCTACCAGGAAGCGTGTGCGATTGCATTATTTTATTTTTCTTATTAATTTGCTGTCTGTGCTCGGTTTGGCTGATTGATTTTATTTCAGGTGACATTGATAAATTTCTTTTCTGACTTGTGCCTATAATAGAGTTCTCTTTTTTCTTTAAAATCACAATTTTATCATATTTGATTATGGCTTTATTTCCCTTTTCTTTTTCTATTTTTATTTGTTCCTGTAACGCCTTTCTGGTTTCAAGTACGTGTCGAGGGAAATCTTCCTTTATGTAGTACGATGTATCTTGCAGTTGGCGTTGGTTTCTTAAAAGTTCAATCTTTCTACCAAGTGTCGTAAATGTGACTACTACAGGGCGAGGTCTTTGAGACTTTTTACCGAGTCTTCGAATTGCTTGAAATTCGGTTTTTTCCACTTTTTGTGAGAAATATGTGTCGATAAATTTTATAATATTATTCTGTAACGATGAGTAATCTTTTTCAGTTTCTGGTAAACCAAAGAATACAAGGTTTCGTTGTCTTGCTTGTCTCTCCAAATGCAAAAGTCGTTGTTCTTGTGTTTCTACCTTATCTTTAAGTTTTTCATGCATTTCTTCCCATGTTTTAAATTTTTCTTCAAGTATTTTATTCATGTACTCTGTTACATTTTTAGTGACGTTTTCGCCACTTCTTTGTATAGTTAATTTTTGTTCACATAACTCATCTTGGATTTTACGAAGAGCGTTTAATACTTCCTCCATTTTAAATCTTGTGCTATTCTTTAATTGTTATTATTTTATTATAATTAGTATTTTATTATTATTTTGTATAAATATCTATTATATTTTTATTATTGTAATGTATTATTTATTACTGTAAATAGCGCCCTCTAGTATGCTATGGTGGAACTGTTTTATAACAGGTGCCGATTACTGACGATCCTGTTTTGTTGCTCGCCGCAGGATGGCGTTATAGGTACATTGTAGAATTGTCATCTATGATTTGCAATTTTTATTCAATTAAATGTAGGTTATATTTTTCTCACACATTTATATAACGAGGAGAAAAACATTGTGTGTCTGTCAACTCACCGTATATGTGGTGGCGACTATTCTAAGCAGTTCTAGCAGTTCATCCAGCTTCTGTTAGTCTCTGGCGTCATAGAGTCACTCACATCTATATAACGAGGAGAAAACACTGTGTGTCTGTCAACTCACCGTATAAGTGGTGGCGTCTATTCTAAGCAGTTTGAGCATTTCATCCAGCCTCTGTTGTGCCGTGGCTCCTTGCACGCGAGGCACTGACGAAGTCTCTGACGTTAGAGACTGACTCACATCTAAATGACAAAGAGATAAAGACTGTATTTTTCTCTTTTAGCCTTAGAAATACTTGAGAAAATTCGGCACGGACAATTAGGGCCGCGGTAGCATAATGGTCAGTGCATAAGCCCGGATAGCGGAGGGGTTCGAGTCCCGTCTGCTGCCTGATCCGCGTGGAATTTGTTCTAGTAGAATTTTCTTTACATTTAAACATCAAGCAGTTAAATGCTTAAAATAAAAATATAACTGTATTTTTTATAGTTATATTTTTTATTTTTTAAGCAAGTAACTGCTTGATGTTTATTCTAAAGAAAATATAACTAGAAAAAAATCCACGCGGACCAGGCAGCAGACGGGACTTGAACCCGCACCCTTCGCTATCTGGGCGAATGCACTGACCAATTATGCTACCACGGCCCTGATGGCCGCGTCGAAATTCCTCTAGCCATTTTTAAGCTGCAAGGCAGCGCCATCTCTTCGAATTGTAGGTAACCCACAATTTTTCTAGTTATATTTTCTTTAGATTTAAACATCAAGCAGTTACTTGCTTAAAAAATAAAAATTATAACTATTAATACTATTTTTTCTTTCAAATGTTTAATACTTGTAAAAGTATTCATTTCGGTCGTGGTCATTGGATGGGTGACCGTAACTCTTCTATCTTGAGTTCCTCCGTGCTTCGGAAGGCACGTTAAGCCTTCGGTCCCGGCTGCATCTGCAGTCGTTAGCACCCGCCAATCCGCACTGGGCCCGCGTGGTGGGTCACGGCCCAATCTCCCTATTTCATCCATAGCGAAGGCCCCATCAGTGAGGACATTAAAAGGCTGATGATGATGATAAGATTCCGAGCAAATCGACTGTGAGAGACAAACAGACAACAGAGCGATCCTATAAGTGTTCCTTTTTGATGAATAAGGTATGGAATCTTAAAAACCTTAATTTTTTTGTTATATTTTAAAATTTTAGATTGTTAGTAAAAAATTTGTATGCCAGGTATAATGCAGAACTTATCTGATACTGTCACCTTTATGTTAATACCGCATACAAATGAATAAATGAATTATAAAAACACAGGGAAAGTAAAAATTTAATCTTCTCACCATTAATAGTGGGCGGTGCTAAATGTGCCCGTAGGCGTAAATGTTGCCAGCCTCTCGCTGAACGAACTACGGCCGCCAATTGCAGCGTGAATAAAGCTCGTACGGTGAATGCTTCCTCGCTAGATGGCGCTAGCGCCTCCACTAACCACACGTCTATGTACTTGAGGTTAGGCGATTTGCTGACAATAAATAAAAAAATAAGACAATAGGGTATTTGACAGTATTAAAAATAAAGTGCCAATTGTTAGCATCTGTGTCCAGAATGAATATTGGCAAGGGTTTTTACTATTATTACAAAAAAAAATATTCTTAATTACTTAAAACCAACGAAAAAGATAATAGCAGCATTTTACCTGAAATAAAATGCATATTAAAATACTTACCTCACTGAAAGCTTTATATTGAGATAGCACTTCCGTTTCCCGTCGAATTACCATCAGTTTCCGTACTTTTATTCACCTTGTATCCGGTCCAGTGGCGACACCTGGCAGAAGCGCGGCCATTTTTGTTTTCCTAAGTTTTGACAGCGCCATATTAACTCATTGGCTCAATTATTTCACCAGGCAGAATTTAAAGTGAAAGCTTTCAGTGAGGTAAGTATTTTAATATGCATTTTATTTCAGGTAAAATGCTGCTATTAAACTACTTGACCGTCACTGAAAGCTTTATATTGAGACCTGTTTGTTATCGCCTGGTGATCGCCACGTACATAGTTGTGACAATTTATGATAAATTTAAATATTAACATTTATCAGATTATATGAAACTGTATAAGAAACGAGTAAGCTTAAAAATGGATCAAATAATATTATTTGAATCACGTCTTTAATTTCTTCCCGCTTACGAAGCTGCTTTAACATATGTATTAGCTGATCGCTATATTCCTTTGCTTGAAACTCGCGAAGTATATATATATATTTGCTTTGTTAATGACCGGACGCTTCCTTGTGTAGCATTCATTGGTATCTTTGTATATCACAAATAAGGCGTACGAATGCGAGAAAAAGATGTAAAGTTGTTCGATACTGAGTCTTACATTTTACAAGACTGTACTTTTTACTTAAGTACCCAAAATCAGGGTCCCACTTACGATTACCATTATTCGGTAGAAGTCACCAATCGGATTGTCTTTAACTACTTTCACCTGTTTTGAACCAAAACAAGGCTAAAACTAATCTTTGTCGGTACAAATACAATGATTCGGGATAATTTGAAGTAGGAACATGTCATGTGTACCACATGCTGAACCAAATAATACGCAGCATAATTACTGTATGACGTTCAGAACAACAACTAGTATGACGAGGTATTTGAAACAGATCATTATGATGTAATGAATACATTATTGAAGAAAAGGAAATAAGTTAACTTATAGACACAGAATAGTGGGTTATGGACTGATTCTTCAAAAACAATCGACTTTAATATATGTGTTTGCCAAGACAGGTGAGTTTAGGTAATTAGACTTATCATCCATTGGTATATCATGTAAAAACAACTGACTTATTTAAAATATTGGTACTTATTTTGAGACAAGTCACGTGTTAAAAATAAGTCTCTCAAAAATCGTGTTAGCTCAGAACCGAGTCCACAACTTGCGGGATTATTCCGATAAACATTCTTGTTCCTAGACCACTGCAACCACGCAAGCCAGCGTTTCCGAGCCATCTCATAGCTGTTTAAGACAGAGCTGTCGCTCTTTGTAGAATATGATGAAAAGCGTAGTGCTAACATATCTATTTGATTGGAGTGGAGACTGAAGTGAAGTGGTAGAGCCGTGTTCTGCAACTACACTTCCCAAGCTTTCATATTAGATTGGCGGGAAGTGATTGCATGGTCGATTGCAGTGAATTCATAATTATTGTTAGAAGTAGGGAGTGGTTGATACAAGCCCACGGAATGACAAAAATGTTGAAACCGATCAACTTCTGAAGTTTACGTTTTTACAACGAAATTCTCAGGTATAGTTTTTATATTGTTGCAGGGTTGCCGTGATAAATTTTGCTATTACGAAGGTCAGACCAGATTTTATGAAATTCATTTGCCATCCTGGGATCTATAATTGATTGTAATGTTTCCTTTTGTTTTTCAGTTCTTAGATCCGAGTCATTTATATGTATTACTTAATACTAAATAAAGATTTAGTTATTTATAAGATTTACACAGCTTACATGAGGTGTGCATGTACTATGCGTAGGGTTTGAAGTATATTTATTCCAGACAGTCGTGGCAAGGTTAGAAAGCATAAGTTTATTAAGAACAGTTTTCAGTATTTTTTACTAAAAATAAGATAAAGTGGATAATTGCATACAATGATCTTCAAAACCTTTCAAGAATTTGGTAGATCGTGCAATCTTTCTTCAGTACATAGTACCACTTATATATCAAAATGATCATGTTGGCCACCTCAGACACCTCATACACGACATTTCTAATATTGCAAGTTTCTCTCATTACGCGATCAAAAGAGTGAGCAACCCATTTGGTATACTTTTGTTATTTTCAAGAGAAAATATGTTATCATCTATCTATCTGGCAGATAGTCCTTAAATTGCAGAAAACTTAGAATTCCTTACATATTTATAGTGTACTGCACTTGAGATTGGAGTTTGATATATATTGGATTTAGATAAACAAGCTTTTGAATGGCATGCGATATCATTAAATTTATTTAAGAATTATTTGTGGTGCTCCCAATTTATCAACTGTACTGCACTAAATTTTTTCAATCATTAATTGTTTCGATATTCCTTTTTCTTTTGAAATGTATACCAGCACGTCGTCGATAACTATATTACGGTAGAACAACCTTAGTGTTCGAGTCAACACTTCACACCAATTAGCCTAGCCTCATAATAGGCATTGAAAGGCTTGTGTTATGGGCTAACGCATAGAAATGCATAATGATGATGCATAGATTAGTATGATTTTGAATTAATATTTGTTAACAACCACTTAAGCACAGATGCTCGTTTTTATCATACAACAAGCAAACCCGGCGAACTCCGTTTCACCACCAGATGGCTTCGTTTTATGTAACATTTCGTTTGGTGATTAAAAGAAGATTTTTTTTTTATTTTTCCTGAATTTTCTTTGCTATAAACCTCACGGAGCCCGAGACCTTTCCAACGAATGCAAAACCTTGGAAATCGGTACGTGCGTTCTGGAGTTATAGCGTCAGGAAGGAAAACCCGACTTATTTTTATATAGTAGATGATTTGCCCCACGCACCGGGGTGAACCCAAGACCTCGGGAGTTTGTGACACCTTAAAAACCACGTACATTGCACTTCACAACGGGGTACGTCAACATTCGATGTTCGATCTTTATAGTCTATTAAGAGGGTAGTTTATAGCCGATTCTTATGTGTGTACGCAAGCCATGAGCGGGTATGTTACGTTGCGTTGATGTATGGATTTCCACGCGATGGAAGTAATGAATTATGTCAAGCGACATTTATTATATTTTCAATTTACTTATTTTTAACGTTTCGAATCGTTTACACTTTTACAGACCCCATGGTCACAAAAATAAATTATGAATCACGAACAGACTATATGTTAAATTATGCATAATTTGCTCCACTCGAGTGTCGTATGTTACCGGTGCTTACATAATAGTACGAACTCCATAAGCGAACATGTTCTAAGGAGAACATATATTGGGCTTCACGTAATGGAAATAATATATTATGTTTGATATGACCCCACAAGGGCGATTATCAGATTGATGAGGATATTCCTCTATCAACGATGTTTTGTTACCGATACTTGTATGTGTAGGCAAGCCATGGAAGGCAAGTCCTTATTCATAATGAGTTCCATACGGTGGAAGCAAATTATACATAATATGCCCCCCGCGAGGGTGGTTTGCTACCGGTACTCGTATATGTAAGCAAGGCATTAGAGGTATTTCATAAGGTTTCACGTAGTGGAAACAAAGGCTCAGCTTTCCATTATATGTAATTGAGTTGCAAGCTGAAATTTTTGTCACGCAAAGTATTAACTATTAAAAACACGTACACGAAATCTTTTTAGGCGGAAACGAATAGAACTCGAGAAAAAAATTATTGAAAATTAATATTTTTGTAGGTTAAGAGTCAATTTTGACAGCAATTTTGATCAGTGCTGCCATTTTTTTATGCAAAAATAACATGATTCTCGTTGTCTATGGTAAATATAAGTTTATTATGTTGGTACTATTGTCAAAATGTGACAATTTACCGCCATTAATGAGATCTGTCTGTCAGTGTTTGTGTTCGTCGCAGTTGAGAGCTTTTTCGTACTCCTGTTGATATTAACATCGTCTGACTACTATGGCATCCTCAAAGCCTTCGGCCTCGAATTCTGCTGTCCCATCGCCTGAAGAGTCGAGTGTAGTGCGAGTTTTGGACTCTAATGAGCCACTTGTGTGGTGATACTTCACACTAGGTTAGGTTAGGTTAGTGTTGTGACCTTAACGCGCGAGCCGAGCGAGCGAAGCGAGCGTGCCGCGGCAGCGGCCGGCGAAGCGCCAGAAAGAAAAATTCGTTAATAGAGACTTTTTCTACAAAAAAAATCAAATATCACCTCTAGGCCCTGGAAGTACAGTTTTACCTTTAAAACCCCTCTAATTTTTTATAATTATCATTTCTGTAAAAAAAACGACCCTTCCCTCTGAGGGGTCTTCCCTAATACCTATCCCCCTGAAATTTCACTACATATAACAGATTTAATGAATTTTTAGGTTAGGTAAAAAAAAACTGCATTTCCGCCAAAAATCTTTTATGGCGGGGGGGTCGGGGGGAGCCCCCCCTCCCCCTCCCCTACAAATTACCGCGAAATTCAATTACATATAATGGAATTAAGTACCGAAACAAATTGTATATAATATGCACCCCGCGAGGGTGATTTGCTACCGGTACCCGTATATGTAGGCAAGGCATTAGAGGCATTTCATAAGGTTCCACGTAGTGGAAACAAATTGTATATAATATTCACCCCGCGAGGGTGATTTGCTTCCGGTACTCGTATATGTAGGCAAGGCATTAGAGTCATTTCATAAAATTCCACGTAGTGGAAACAAATTATATATAATTTGCACCCCGCGAGAGTGATTTGCCACCAGTACTCATATGTGTAGGTAAGCCATGGGAGGACATGTCCTGACACGCCTTGGGCTTCATAAGATGAAGCTTATGAATATCACTTGCCTCTGCACGAGTTGCTCATTAGGTTGATGAAATGTCAATCACTTAAATCCATGACAAATACTTACTAAATACGAGAAAAACAACCTCAAAAGCTCTGAATCATTATGGGTGATTACATGGTATCTAATTAAGTGGTGCTTCATCACAGAGATTACTAACTTCTTAAGCAGTGCTTTAGTTTTTACTTTTTAGCTTTGTGCCCTCACTAGCTGTAAAAGACCTAAGAAACGATTCTGTTATCTTATCACTCTCGTTATTAAAATTAACTGAGCAGGTGCCTTCCCGCAATAATTCATTTTTATTTTAGAAATATGCAATTGCTGAAAGAAAATTAATGTCAGGAACGTGATATATCATAAATTATCATCATACTTCTTTACCTCGTTGTTTGTTTCCCGGTTGATAAAGCCTGGACTATGATTATAATTTTCAATTTACATCAGCATATCATTTAGAACTTTTTATTCATAAGCCTTTTGATATTGATAGCTGGCCATGTTCAGAAAACGGCACATCGACATTAGAAATGCCTTATTAAGATTGTACATAGTTCACTTACCCCTCAAACAATCATTTAATAAAGGGGCTGGAATATCAAGCTCGCTTACTTTTCTTGAGGCAGCGATGCCGCTTTCGTTATACCAGAAGACGACAAATTCAACCAATTATTACTGCAGCTATTCGAAGAACAATTATGACTAGATCCACACATCTTGCTGTTTTTACCACTAATGCCAGTTAGTCGGCGGCAGAACGTCAATATTGAACGATGTTCCTTCACTCTAAACTGTAAAATAATTTAATTAAGTATTTTGTAATACATTTACCAATTTACTTTCACACTTATACGGAAACATTAATTGAGTACTAAGAGAAAACATTAATATGATATGACCCCACAGTTTTTATTATAAACGACCAAGACAGTCGTAAAGTATTGCAAAATTTACTTTAATGTAGGTACTTTAATTTTTTAAACATAACGCACCTTGAATGACCGTCAAGTTTTACTCACGGCTTATTATTACTTTTTTAAACAAGGGTATTGCACAATTTAACATATTTGTTTTAAATATCCCTTATCACAAGGGCTGCAAAAACTATCAAAAAGAATAATAGTTTTACTTACGGTTCCTTCACCTTTAACACGTAAAGTACCTATTTGGAATAACAAGAACGGCAAAAACCGTTAAAATAAAATATTTTTACTTACAGTTTTATCACTTAATAATAATAAAACCTTAAAAATCTCACAACGATCGCTCAGATTGAGCACGTGTTGCTTCGACGGGAGTCAGAACGCCAATGAGTGAATATGGCGCTGTCAAAACTTACGAAAACAAAAATGGCCGCGCTTCTGCCAGGTGTCACCACTGGACCGGATACAAGGTGAATAAAAGTACGGAAACTGATGGTAATTCGACGGGAAACGGAAGTGCTATCTCAATTTAAAGCTTTCAGTGACGGTCAAGTAGTTTAATAGTTTTCTTATCTATTGTCACGTGACCCGAATTGCTTGCGATTGGCGGAGCCTAAAATGACGTCACACACAAGTAAACATCCGGTTAAAGTGACATTACATTGTATCGTTTGACGTTTTAATAACAGTCGTGTGATGTCACACACTAGTAAGACGCCATATTGTCCAGAAAAGTGTTTTCGCGAAACATTTCGGCAACTTGAAAATGGAGTTTTTGATTTGGTTATTTTTACTGAAATACACAACAGAATGATGAATATATATTTTTTATGAACTCCATAAACATTAGTCAATAACATGAGATCGTTTTCTAAAACTTGTCAAATACCCTATTGTTGTAACGGAGAAAAAACTGGGTGCAGAAGAACAAAAACCGTTGCATTTGACACAATGAATCTGCAGAATTCACTTGAAACTTGGAAAATGTTTTTTTGCGTTTTATCATATTTAGTAATGCTTTTTAATTTACACGTTTAATTCAACTTTTCGATTAAACTATTTAGGATTGATTAAAGGCATAAATGTAGCCTGGGTGTCCAGTAGCATTCGAATAATAAGATGAAAGTCATCCGGAAAACTTTTTGAGTTGCCGGCCGTAAAAAACAAAGTACATAGAATACACAGACGAGGGGATATAAAGTAATAAATCATGATTCGAGGAGCTCGATGGCGTAAATGGTTAGTGCGTTCGGCTGCGATCGTTGAAGTTAAGCAACTTTCGCAGTGGTCGGTCATTGGATGGGTGACCAAAAATTTCTTATCTCGAGTTCCTCCGTGCTCCGGAAGGCACGTTAAGCCGTTGGTCCCGGCTGCATCTGCAGTCGTTAGCACCCGCCAATCCGCACTGGGCTCGCGCCTATTCCATCCATAGGGAAGACCTATGCCCCAGCAGTGAGGTCCTTTTTTTTATAGCGAGGTAGGTAAATGACTCTACCCCAACTGATGTTAAGTGGTGATAAAGTCCAAACGCGAAGATAGCTGGTACAGCAGTTATAAACTGCTACACCAACCAACCTCACCTTGCCGGCCTGCAAAAATGCTTCTTCTCGCCACGTAAATGGGCTAATAATAGGCTTTTTCACATTAATAGGTCGATGATGATGAAATCATAATTACCGTTCAACAGCAGCCATGTCCAGTCTATGGAATCCTCGACACAGGCATATATTCTTGTTAACGCAGAGCACATCGGAAATGATTCGGACGTAGGCGGCGGGCGAGATTCTCGCGTCCGTAGCCCTTCGGACGGGGAATACCACCTCGCCGCTGTCTAAATCGAAAGCCTCGGTCTTGTACGGGGAGATGGGACTGGTGGAGGGAAAAATGAAAATGTTGATCATTTAGAATGGGTATAAAGCTCTATATATACAGGGTGTTTCTTCTAGGGTGTCAAGCCAGTGCGAGATAGAGGAGTACCATACCTATCTATTTAACCCCCATGTATGTTCTACGATTTTGCGTAGTTTACGAGTAAGACTTTTTTTGTTATTCTTTAAGTTCAATGATAAGACAACTTTAAAAAAATATAACTTCTTTTTGGGTCGCTTTTTCTTAGATATTTTTTTTAAACAGAATGCCTATTGCTTGTAGTTTTATAAATAAAATAATCTCCTTCCTCACTTTAACCTAAGATATAAAAAATTTGATCGATACTAAATAAAAATGAATTAAGTAAAACAGGCTGGATTTTCAATTGAAATAAAAAAAAATGAAAATAGATGTTCTATAACTTCTGACTAATTTTAAAAACTGCCTGACTACATAAGCTTTCATTAAAATACAAAAAAAGATGTACTAAAGGTGTTATATCGGAAATCGAGTAATATTAATATTTCATAATTTCGTAGTATAAATATAACAGGCTTATGAAACAATTCTTAGCGCATTTCATTTCATCATTTCATGATATTGTTTAATCATAAATGATAATAGAATCTCCACAAAAAGCTTTTATCGAAATCACTATTTATTTTAATAGCTTTTCTTTCTACTCCCGAGCTAGAAAAGCTAGAAAATCTGCTATCTATCTGTTAGCTTAGTATCTCCAATACAAGCCTTCCCTTTTGGTTAAGTTAATTGATGTGTGTTAAATATTGATTACGCTGAATTTTTTGGAATTAACAAAAATCGGACCTTGAAATGGCTACGGTTATTGGATACATTTTGTTGTTAAAAAAGATACTAATTATAATAGCCTAATGTCACTCAGGAATATTGTACCATTGTAGTGGTGAGAGTATTTGAAATCGCTCCAAATATAAATTCGTTATTTGATACAATAATTTACTATACTGTATTGCAATTGGAAATTTCTTTTAATTAAATATATATGTACTTGTAGTATTAGAAATTCCCGCTCTCCGTGCTAAAAGACATGGAACATTGAATTATTGATCACCCTAATAATAATGATCTCTCAAAAGTAGAAAAAATTAAAAAACTTTTTTTTTACTATATTTCTTTAAATGGATATGTTTGTTTGTGTGTATGCATGCTTGCATGTGGGTGTACGAGTGTGTGAGTGTATGTGTGTGCGCGTATTTGTTTCAGGAGGAGATTGGGTCCAGGCCTACAAATTGAGGATGGCTGAAGCGGCACACCTTCTGCCGCATCATCTATCCTCGTGACTTGACCCCACTTACACTTAACATCAGGTTGGGTGTAGTAATTAGCTGCACCTCGTATAAAAGAATCTCTTATCTATTAGACAAGTCCGTCCGTCTGTGGTGCTGTTTCAGCGGCCAAACCGTAAAAGATAGATAAAGAGAATATTTAAGTTATAAGTTAAGAATAGTCTGATAAGACTACAAACCGGATTTGAGTAACGTAGCACTTCCGGTTTTCGAGAAATCAGGTTTTGGTGAACATTTGGTTCACTGGTTTGCTAGTATCGGTATAAAAGGCTTACTCTCTGAAGAAATCATTTGGCTGCTCTCCGTCCCTGAAGCCCAGCAGTACGGTGTCCGGCTTCATGGCGCCCAAACCAGACAATCTGGTCAAATGGGCGGCACCACTTCTGACGGACTCCGCTAGGCATAGCTCTACGAACGCTTTCACCTACGAGTTTATGGGAAAATTTAATTTGAATATAGTTTTTTTTTAAACACACACCAATTAGCCTAGCCCAAAGTAAGCGTTGTAAGGCTTGTGTTATGGGATACTAGGGTAAAGGATTGAATACATATACCGTACATATCTTTATATATATAATTCTTCTGCGAGTGTGTATGTCACTGAACTTCTCTTAAACGACTGGACCGATTTTGATGAAATTTTTTGTGTGTGTTCAAGGGGATCTGAGAATGGTTTAGATTCACAAAGACGTGTAGACAGGACAACGTCTGTCGGGTCCGCTAGTATAAGTATATTTATATAGAAATATATATTTAACATTCATGACTGGAGTACAAATGCTCGCATTCATCACACAAACATCTGCCCCCACCGGGAATCGAACCCGGGACCTCTCGAGTCGGCGACACTATGAAACCCGGCGTACAAACCACTTGGCCACGGAGGTCATCAATGTATTGAGTTCCTTAGATTTAAACAAAAAGAGAAGATACGGTACGCTCATACTAGCATCAAATAAAATATGATCCGACTCAACTACATAAGCAACTCTCGCCACGCACTCTGTATATAAACATCAATCGAGCGAGCGAGGCAGAACTATATGCTTCAACGCAGCGTATTGTTGTCCTACTCTTGCTTACAAAATGGCGATTACGTAAATAATATTCACGACAAACCGTGATTTTTGAGAAAAAATGTTTTCACAGTTTTACGAATGAAAAGTGTTGCCGGGGCATTTGATTTCGAACTATTTGTGTTCTTTATAAAAGCATCGAAGGCATTTTTTATCTTTATAACACAGAATTTACGCAGTATTGTTATATTGAGTGTACATGCAGCGTGTTTGCATGTCCAATTGTGACTCAAGCGAATTGTGGTCATGCACCACAATTTAAACGGATCACTTTGAGCCGCGAGTGCCTTTTTGTTTTAATCTAAGTTTTGTTCATATCATGTCATGGACACGAATTTATGGGAAATTTAACTTAAATCGTCACTATATTGAACTGATATCTTGTCAAGTATGCGAATTTAAGGGTAAATTTATCGTGAATAGACGCCGTATTGAGCTCATATAGGAGAGAAAATTATTGCATCTATTAACTTAAAACTATCAACAAATTTGGAACAAGACATTTATTTTTATAAACAAGACACATTAAACCATCTCAGTTAATACTAATCTTTAATTATAAGAAAATACAATATTAATAGGTAATAAAAAAGAATTGGCAGCGGTGGGATTCGAACCCACGCCTCCGAAGAGACTGGTGCCTTAAACCAGCGCCTTAGACCGCTCGGCCACGCTACCCACATCAGACCGGCACGAAATTAGAATACACATGTAGAATGCCTATTACATGTTTGGGACGACGAATTTATTACTATTCATAAAGCTAGAATATGAATTATTCAAGTTGAAACTAGTTTTTTTATGATATTAGTGTAAATACTAATTCCGCACGCATGTCATACAACGTTTTTCAACACATTTGCGAGAAAACAGTATAATAGGGTATTTGAGAAGTTTTAGAAAACGATCTCACGTTATTGAATAATGTTTATGGAGTCCGTAAAAACTGGATATTCATCATTCTGTTGTGTATTTCAGTAAAAATAACCAAATCAAAAACTCCATTTTCAAGTTGCCGCGAAAACGTTTCTCTGGACAATATGGCGCCTTACTAGTGTGTGACGTCACACGACTGTTATTAAAACGTCAAACGATACGATGTAATGTCACTTTAACCGGAATTTTACTTGCGTGTGACGTCATTTTAGGCTCCGCCAATCACAAGCGTTTTGGGTCACGTGACAATAGATAAAAAAACTATTATCTTTTTCGTGGGTTTTTAGTAAAATTATGAATACTTATTTTGTAAAAATAGTAAAAACCGCTGCCAATATTCATTCTAAAGACAGATGCTGACAATTGGTAATTTATTTTTAATACTGTCAAATACCCTATTTAAGTAATGAAGCAGACTTTTTCGAATAAGATAAGAATATGGCGCGCATATCTAAATAGCGCTACGTGCGAGTAGTGGTGAAAATTAGAACTACATCTTTCGCCTCTTTTTCTAGTATAAAAGTGAGACGAAGGTATACATTAAAAGAGTTTCCAAGGAGGTTCAATCAAAAGGACATGGCTAAGAAACTGCCCTTAACGTGTATAATTATTTTGCACTAGCCCATAACATTATATTTTTATTAATTTTCACGTGTTTATTATACTCATACAACTTTCGTGAAATAATTAAATATTTAAAAGTATGAAAATTGACTTCATGTCCGTTTCAAAAAGAAAATGTTCCGTTTTACAAAAATAAACATACACAAAAAATATTTGTGTAAGTATATCAAAACACAATAATAATTCCAAGCTCCTTAAAAAATATGATATATCTGGCCCTATTTTTTTTAACAAATCACTGAAGGCCTAAAATTGTAGATTTTATTCTGATCAGGCTTGAGTCAAGGCTGTATGATAATTAAGCCTTTGATTTTTGCAAATGAACAAAATAAAACTTCACAGATTTCCTGTCAGGCCGATGGCGACAATTTATTTGTATTAATTTTTGCTCTAAACACACTTTTTGTGAAGTGTTAATCAGAGATATGGGAGAAAAGATCCAAAGAAAATGCGCAATTGATGGCTCTGCAAATAATTGGCAACAGCTTTTATCAAATGTAGCAAGGTAATGACATAGTAGGAGTTATCATAATTTTTAAGATTGTAACTTTATCTAAAGTTCCTGAGCCTTTTCTCATAGATATTATAAACATTCAGCATCTCTTATCTATTAGACAAGTCCGTCCGTCCGACTGTCTGTGGTGCTGTTTCAGCGGCCAAACTGTAAGAGATAGATAAAGAGAATGTTTAAGTTATAAGTTAAGAATAGTCTGATAAGACTACAAACCGGATTTGAGTAACGTAGTACTTCCGGTTTTCGAGAAATCACGAATTTCAAACGAAACCACACAAAATCTCCGAAGAAAATATAACGAAGTACAATATTTATACATTACTAGGGCAGTCGCTCATACAAAATTTTACCATGTCCTTTAAAAAGACAACCGTAATTATTAAGCACGTCTCCATGTATGGCAGCGTGCGGTAAAATGTTTATATGCGCGGCACTCGGGGACTGCCGCGGTAAAGCTATTGCATAGCATTATTTATCAACTTACGCAATTATATTTATTTATTTGTTTATTTTATTTATGCAATATTTCTTTTCTTTGATATTAATAGATGGCGGCGAGGCAGGCCTTATGATATTTTATTCATATAGCAAAGCACAGCTAACAACAGCATGCACAGCTAACAACAGCATGGCCCGGCGCCAAAAACTACCACAAGCTCCACAGTTTACCATATTTAGTCCAAAAATTTAAATTATAATTATAAAGTCTAAATAAAAGGGAGACAAATAAAAATAAGAACAGGTGCTGGGGTCTTTAAACAAATATATAAAAAGAGGAAAAAAATATAATAAAAAATACAAGTGCGGGATTTGAACCGACGACCGCTGTGATGCGTCGAACGTTGGTCCCGTGGCAAAAATTAAAGACACTGCACCGTTTCGATCGATACTGGAAAGGCGAAAATTGTGTTCATGTGCACTGTTGTCAGGTTATTTTCGCTACGGAATTTGTGAATTGGGTCGCCGCGCTCAAAGCCCGCGATAAAATTTTTGTAATAGCTTAAAAATAAACGCCAACGACCAGGCAACCAACGGTACTCGAACCCGCAACCTTCACTATCCGGGCGAATGCAATAATTATTTGTTACTCACCTTGAGATGATCAATGAGCTTAAGCCAGTACTTGTGCTCTTCGGCTAAAGGGTCTCCACTTCCGTCCAGTTGGCCTTCTCTTACGTGGCCCAACACGAATAACCCGCCCTGGTAACAAGAAATAACAATAATAATAATTTTAGTTTGAGGAGCTCGATGGCGCAGGCAGTTAGCGAGTTCGGCTGTGATCGTTGAAGTTAAGCAACTTTCGCAGTGGTCGATCATTGAATGGGTGACCGAAACTCTTCTATCTCGAGCTCCTCTGTGCCTCGGAAGGCACGTTAAGCCGTTGGTCCCGGCTGCATCTGCAGTCGTTAGAACCCGCCAATCCGCACTTGGCCCGCGTGGGACCTTACTTGAGTACAGTTAGAAAGGGATGTCGCTATATATAGCACATAGCGACATCCCTTTCTAACTGTACTCAAGTAAGATCAACACTTAGTTTTGATTCTGTAATACGAGCCTAACGCCCGTATTATAGAAATATTCTCAGTAATTAATCTAGTTTTGAGAATAGTTATAAAGAAAGATTTTGCATGCCGGTATAAGAAGAATCATCGATGAATGTCATTGTGTATAATACAAGCCTGAGAACAAAAACTGTAGTCTACACTTCAGCTCTACACCGAAGCGAAGCGAGGGCGGGCCGCTAGTCAATAATAAAATCTGCAGCCGCCAGGACTAAGTACTCGCCAGTTTTTTAAATCAATAGTTTTCTATCCAATATAAGCCCCAAAATGTTCATAAAACTCTTTTTTCTGATCGTTGTCTATCTTTATATATATAATTCTTCTGTGAGTGTGTATGTCACTGAACTTCTCTTAAACGACTGGACCGATTTTGATGAAATTTTTTGTGTGTGTTCAAGGGGATCTGAGAATGGTTTAGATTCACAATTTTGTCCGCTGGACAACCCCTATTTTTTTATAGACCGGGAGATGATGACACAAAATACTTGGTCATTTGTACCAGTATGGCGGTTCTTCAGGGGTCTAATTACGTAAAGGCAAAAAGGAAAATGATGGTCATAGCGCTCGCACCGGCGGCCCAATCGCGTGGGCGTTAATCGAACGCGTCGGATAAATAACGAGTGTCGAACGATTTGTTCCATAAAAATGCTTATATTTTCAGATAGTCGAAAAAAAGAAGTAGGCGGTAGCGTAATGCCATACTTCTCGGGTGTGACTTACAGCCCGCCATACCGACGCGAATACATTAATTTAAATAAAACAATTCAACCATTTGTACCAGGCTAATTTTTGCACAGCTAATCATCGTCGAGTAGCCATTCACGAAAATCACCTTGCCATACTTTTCCGACAGTTCCCAATGGCCGCCATACCGCTGCAAAGGAGTAATTTTTTTTTTTCGCCAAACGATTTGTACCAGTATTGCATTTGAATTTTTGGAAAGTATTTGGCAAAATGTGACCGTTATTATTTTTCCCATACTTCTAGTAGGGGGAAAAAGTGCTGCCATACTTGAAATACTTATTTATTTGACACGTTTTAAAAATACGACTGCAAAATACGTAAAATCATTTTTTACATCATGACATCATTGTATTCTCGTCATTTGGATGCAATTGTACGTAAAAAAAATGATTACAGATTGTAAACATGGGGCGGATGACTGTCGGACTTGAGCTAAAAGGTGAAAAAGAAAAAAAAAATTGACGATTTGTACCAGTATGGCATTTGGATTTTTGGAAATTATACGATACAATGTGACCATTATTATATTTGCCATACTTGTAGTAGAGGGAAAAAGTGGCGCCATACTTGAAAAACCTGATTTTTCGACACGTTTTCAAGGTACAAGACATAAAATCATTTGTTACAGTATGGCATCATTGTATTCGGTTTATTTGGATAAAATTCAACCTAAAAAAAATAATCCCATACTATAACTATGGGGCGGAAGACTGTCACACTCGAGCAAGATATGAAAAAAAAAATTGGAACGAATTGTAAAAATATGGCATTTTAAATCATTTCCAAACTTGAAAAAAACAACTAAGTTTTGGGAAAATTACACAGTACTTATGGAGAAGTGCCAAAGTGATGCCATACTTGAAAAAATAATTTTCGGATTTTTTTTTTGTGTTAAAAAATAAGCCTAGAGCGAGTGTGGCAGCTCCAGCCCCCCTGGTCACGGTACCAGGGGGGCTGGAGCTGCCACACTCGCTCTGATATGCCGACAACTAATAGAATCTTGAAACCTTTTTTCGAAATAGCCCACCTGTAATATCGTTCCCATACATTATGTCTTACCAACACGATGAGCCAAGACCTCTACAATTCGAGAAATCTTTCGAGCGGTGGGAACCGCAGAATATTATACAACATAAAATCTGCTTATAAGACAAGATTGGCGCCACTTAGGTGTTTGAAACTTTGTATTTATATTCGTTAAAACTCAAACTTACAGGAAAAATTAGTGCCATACTGGTACAAATCGTTCGAATTACGAATAAAATCTTGGGACTTTGAAAAAATATTGTTCACATTCGCCACCTCCCACAGGTATGGCATTATCAGACTTCTATTTATGATCATACGGGGAACTGTTAAAAAAAGTTTCAGGGTGGTACAAATCGTTTGGCGAAAAAAAAAATTACTCCTTTGCAGCGGTATGGCGGCCATTGGGAACTGTCGGAAAAGTATGGCAAGGTGATTTTCGTGAATGGCTACTCGACGATGATTAGCTGTGCAAAAATTAGCCTGGTACAAATGGTTGAATTGTTTTATTTAAATTAATGTATTCGCGTCGGTATGGCGGGCTGTAAGTCACACCCGAGAAGTATGGCATTACGCTACCGCCTACTTCTTTTTTTCGACTATCTGAAAATATAAGCATTTTTGTGGAACAAATCGTTCGACACTCGTTATTTATCCGACGCGTTCGATTAACGCCCACGCGATTGGGCCGCCGGTGCGAGCGCTATGACCATCATTTTCCTTTTTGCCTTTATGTAATTAGACCCCTGAAGAACCGCCATACTGGTACAAATGACCAAGTATTTTGTGTCATCATCTCCCGGTCTATTAGGGTGGTACGAAGTTTGCTGGGTCAGCTAGTAACCTTATAAAAAGTGTTTTATTAAATAAGCAGTGTGCTAGCCAATATAAGCCACAAAATGTCTATAATGTACTTTATATACTTTATGATGTTTATTTTTTAAGCATGTTACTGCTCGATGTTTTGGCGACCTCCGTGGCCGAGTGGTTTGTACGCCGGGTTTCATGGCTGTCACCGACTCGAGAGGTCCCGGGTTCGAATCCCGGTGGGGGCAGATGTTTGTGTGATGAATACGAGCATTTGTACTCCAGTCATGGATGTTTAATATGTATTTATATAAATATACTTATATATGTACAGTATATGTATTCTGTCCGTTACCCTAGCATCCCATAACACAAGCCTTATAGTGCTTACTTTGGGGCTAGGCTAATTGGTGTGAGTGTCTGAAATATTTATTTATTTTTTATTTATGTTTAAATCTAGAGAAAATATTACTTTCCACGCGGACCAGGCATTCATTTGACATCGTGAATTACCTACAATGTGAAGAGATGGCGTTGCCTTGCAGCTTAATAAAGGCTAGAAAGAATTTGACACGGCCGTCAGGGCCGCGGTAGCATAATGGTCAGGGCATTCGCCCGGATAGCGAAGGGTGCTGGTTAGAGTTCCGTCTGCTGTCTGGTCCGGGTGGATTTTTTTCTAGTACATTAGCCGATTATCCGAACGTCGATTAATCGAATCGCCATTTATCCGAATCGGTCCTAAGCGTAATATAAAAAAATAAAAACAAGTCATTACTGTTTTGTTTTGTTCTAACAAGTTGGAACTCGCTGGAGTCCAGATATATTTCAACTGTTAAGGTTGAACGCTAGAGGCAAGACACTACATGTCTACTGTTCTTATTTTTCTTTTTCTTTTGCTACTATGTAACTCTATTATTGTACCTAGTATTGTAAAACTTAATTAAGTTTATTCTGTGTGACGGTTCATTTTCCTTTATTACCATTACATTACATTTAAGGTTGACCGATACAAGAATAACTTTGACGATGTAAATAATGCTCTCTCACAAGTATTGCACTGGTTTAATGTAAATAACTTAAAATTAAATGCAAATAAAACCAAATGCATTAAATTCACTTTACCTAATGTTAGAAGCGAAACCATTAGAATTAAATTAAACAATGAAAACCTAGATTTAGTTGAGTCAACGATATTCTTAGGTATAACCATAGACTCGAAATTGCAATGGTATCCTCATATTTCTCTGCTAGCTGGTAAACTTAGTTCAGCAGCCTATGCCATACGTAAAATAAGACAACTTACTGATGTAGCTACTGCTAGAACTGTATACTTTAGTTACTTTCATAGTATCCTATGGTATTATTCTCTGGGGATCAGCAGCCGATATTGAAACTATATTTATCTTGCAAAAAAGAGCTATAAGGGCTATTTATCAACTTAGTTCTAGAACATCTCTTAGAGAAAATTTTAAAGAAATCGGGATTTTGACTGTTGCTTCTCAATTCATTTATAATTGCATACTTTTTGTTCGAAGCAATATTAACTATTATCTAAAACACAGTGACATACATTCTTTTAATACAAGGAATAAAAATAAACTCAAGATACCAAATTACAGGTTACAGAAGGTTCATAAATCATTTATGGGTCAAGGTATACATTTCTATAATAAGATTCCTATTGATATCCTTGATTTGCCTCCTCATAAATTTAAAATACACATTAAGAATTGTTTACTTAAGAAAGGATATTATACTGTCAATCAATATTTGAATGATAAAACGGCCTGGTTGTAATTTTACCTGTAGATAATTTTTCAAAAGTTATATTAAAACTAAGGCTCCCAGCCTTAGAAAGAGTTTTGAAGAGAACCTTGCACTTACTCCCTTTCATATACTTGTTCATTTTGTTTTGAAAATTGTTTCTTGCTATTTTGGGACTTATCTTTGCACTTATTGTTAGTAAATTCATTGATTGTTACATATTTGACATTATGTGATGGAAGTTGACCTCAACACATGTTTGCAAGTTTGATGTCAACTTTCAATTGGACGACACTGTATGAAATAAAACAGGGAGAAAAAAGCAGCCCTTGCTGAGTTTCTTGCCGGTTCTTCTCAGTACAAGGTCTCCCGCCGTAGTTTTGCGAACCGATGGCGTAGCTTTTCGACATTCACAAGTGCTTGTAACAGCCTAGACTGAATAAACGATATTGAATTTTGAATTTTTTGAATTTTTACCAGTCTATGTCCGATTATCCGTATTTTCGTTTATCCGAATCGACCCCAGTCCCAATTAATTCGGATAATAATCAGCGTTCTAGTGTAATATTTTCTTGATGATATACCTTTTTCTGATCGTTAACGAAGTCTATAAGCGGCGCGGCCTGCCTAGGCGATGCAATCAGCAACAACATCTGCGGTCTCCAGAACTTCACGTGTTCGCGACGAGGGTCCAGCAGTAGCAGATACTTGCGGACCTGGGTAGGAGAACAATCAATTTTTATTTATTATGAACTAGCCATACCCTTAATAATTTTCTTAGTTATTACGACAGAAAGGTTGCAGGTTGTTTTTGACTGATATAAAAATAATGAAAGAAATGCGAAAAACTTCTTTGCACTGATACATGCACATTATTTAATGTGCAGTATCCTCGGACCACAGAAATACACGTGATATATTACTACAACCCTTATGGACCCTTTCCCCCCTTCGAGACTCACATGAATAATGGTCAGCCCGTTACCTATTTGACTCTGTTATAACATACCTGATGGAATATAAGAGCTTGACTTAAACTCCCCCATTTCGGTTCTGCAGCGGCTGGAGACAACAAATGCAGGGCTACCACCAAACTGCAGCACGCTAGGGCTGCCCCCAACGCGTATAGAGGCCGGAGAGCAAACATTAGCGCGGCGCAACCTAGCAGCCCTAGCAGGGAGCTCAGCCACGAGAAATGCTTGAACGTAGGCCTGAGGGGGAAAAATCATCATCAGTCTTTTAATGTCACTACAGCTGGCTTTAACTAAACTTAAGTCAAATGAATGAATAAATGAGGAGCTCGATGACGCAAGTGGTTAGCGCGTTCGGCTGCGATCGATGAAGTTAAGCAACTTTCCCAGTGTCCGGTCATTGGATGGGTGACCAAAAATTTATTATCTCGAGCTCCTCCGTGCTTCGGAAGGCACGTTAGGCCGTTGGTCCCGGCAGCATTTGCAGTCGTTAGCACCCGTCAATCCGAACTGGGCCCGCATGGTGGGTCATGGCCCAATCTCCCTATTCCTACCATGAGGAAGGCCTGTGCCCAAGCAGTGGGGGACATGAAAAAGCTGGTAATGAAGTCAAATGACGTCTCTGGTTGCGACGAATAAAGAATGGCCGCGAGAGTAGACAAATTTCTAGAAAGAGCGAAGTGTGAGCCGCACTCTCGCTTCCTCTCTTTCTCTTTTACTACTCTATCCAGTTTTACTACACATTATCTCATAAACAAATAATGGAAAGGACGACACTCGAGTGAAATTAATTAATCTCTAGGAGCGCAGCCTGAAAAGGATGCGATACATCATAAATAAAGAAATCAGTGCATCTATACCGTTGAAACTTGATTTATTAAAGTCAATTTGAATAAAGTATATTTTACACTTCATTTTATTGATAACTCTCTAGAAAGACAATAAAACACAGCCAATACTTAAACAAACTACATATTATTATATATTACAGAGCATCCCACGGCTACCTCACACGGAGGGAAAGTATATTAAATATTAAAGATAGGATATTTTACTGAAAGAAGACATCATTTTATTTTTAATAATAACTAGAACTGCATTCAGTTTTTTTTTTAAATTGCCTGCTACAACTGGAAATTAAACTCGTGAAATTTCTAAAAAAAAAACACGACATTTTATAATATGAAACACTTAACTGATTTTTTTTTCTAATCTAAAGAAAAAAAACTAGTATAATTTTCTTTAGATTGGAACTCCGTATTTCCGTGCTTTAGAATGGACTAGAAATTCTCGGTAACCCATCCAAAGACAGGCCATTGCAAAAGCGTCTTAACAGCCACGATTGCAGACTAAACGCGCCAAACACTACGCTATCGAGCGCCTGATGTAAAGGACAACAGAGGCTAGTATTAACTTGGGTTAAATAGTAAAGGGTGCCACCCTTTGTTTACACAAAATATTAGGAATTGATTATATAAAAGATAGTGTTTAGTTAATATTATTAAGAAAACTAACCTGAAGTTAGGTGCTGACGCCAGATCAAGACCCAAACAAGCCAAGTTGATGGCGAAGTAACTCGTCATGAACAGCACTGAATTCACCTAAAACATAAATTAAAAGATTACAAAAACTTATAATTACTCTGTCCCTGTAGCATAAGCACCAGTCCCCGTAGCATGAGCAACATAGTTTACATTATATCACGTTTTTCATCGCATATAACTGTCAAACTCCTTAGTAATCCGACAATAGGGTATTTGACAAGTTTTAGAAAACGATCTCACGTTATTGACTATGTTTATAGAGTCCGGTAAAAGGATGGATATTCATCATTCTGTAGTGTATTTCAGTAAAAATAACCAAATCAAAAACTCCATTTTCAAGTTGCCGCGATAACGTTTCTCTGGACAATATGGCGTCTCACTGGTGGGTGACGTCACACGACTGTTATTTAAACGTCAAACGATACAATGTGTGTATTATTATGTATAATAAACAACGTGAATATTCACTTTAACCGGAAGTTTACTTGCGTGTGACGTCATTTTAGGCTCCGCCAATCCCAAGCGTTTTGGGTCACGTGACAATAGATAAGAAAACTATTATCTTTTTCGTGGGTTTTTAGTAAAATTATGAATATTTTTTTCTGTAAAAATAGTGAAAATCTCAGCCAATATTCATTCTAAACACAGATGCTAACAATTGGCACTTTATTTTTCTGATATTTATACTGTCAAATACCCTATTGATCGTTATAAAAACGCGTTATAATATCATATCGCGGTGCTCATGCTACGGGGCCACAACTTACATTAGTTTTTTATCGCGTCTAACTGTCAGATTCCATAGAAATCTCACAATAGGGGTGATGACGGGGTACAGTTAACGAAATTCTATTTAGTCCGTCAGTTAGATGATCAAAAACTAATGGACACGTATTTTTTCTTTGGGCGTCAAAGTTTGGGAGTAGGGGCTCGTGACGTCACTTTTAAGTGAAAATTGTACCAAAACGTGACGTCATGCGACTTTTCAAATCAATATATCTCTGCAATGTTTATTTTATGTGAAAAAAGAAAAAATACGTGTCCAATACTTTTTGATAATGTACCTGATAAACGAAGAAAAAAAATAGTCATCATCCCTATTGAGCGTGATAAAACCAGCTATATATAATATCGCGATGCTTATGATGGGGGGGGGGGGCAGGTCTGTTGAGAATGGAAACATTTCATGAAAATATACATATTTCACAAAGAGGAGGCGTTGCCTTAATAACGACTGAACTGGTTTAAATTTTGCACATAATATATAGGTAATTTATAACTTTATAAAGGGGTTTTTTAATCCCAGAACAATGTTTAATTACCGCAAATCAAGAAGTACTTTAAACAATATCTAGAGAAAATATAATAGGGATGATGACAAATTTTTTTTTCTTCGTTTACCAGGTAGATTATCAAATAGTATTGGACACCTATTTTTTCTTTTTTCACACAATATAAACATTCCAGAGATATATTGATTTGAAAAGTCGCATGACGTCACGTTTGAGTACAATTATAAGTGAAAATTCACTCAAAAGTGACGTCACGAGCCCCTACTCCCAAACTTTGACGCGCTATAACATCTAACTGACGGACTAAATAGAATTTCGTTTACTGTACCCCGTCATTACCCCTATTATATCATCAAGCCTGAGCGATGGCTTTCAAAGAACCGGTCATAATTCCAATCTGCACCAACAGCCAGGAGGTGACACCATCGACTGAAAGAGGAAACCTACAAACCTAGTAAGTATAATAATATCATCAAACCTGAGCGATGGCATTCAGAGACCCGGCCATAATTCCGATCTGCACCAACAGCCAAGAGGTGAGGACGGCCAGCACTGGATTACCGGAATGGGACACCATTGGCTTTAGGAGGAAACCTAGAAACGATACAGGAGATATTGAATGGCCCCCCTTTAAGTTCCAAAAATAGGAAAGTATATGGAAGTAATGCGAATAAGTATGTGTTTTACCCAAGAACTATAATAATAATATATCAAGATTTTCTAGCAAATTGAAAGATTTTTGAAGTGAAAACTTCTTTAACGGCGTTGTACACTTTTTTTGTATGGGTAAAAAATGTTAAACTCGCGTCAGGTTAAACACGTGGGCTGATCGCATCATGACACACAATAAAATTGGAAAGGTTGTTGAATTTCAATATATTGGACGAAACATATTAATATTTTATTTTACCGTATTATAATAATAAGTACTACCTAGGACGTCCACGTGGCAGCTTTATTGCGAAGAAAATGCATTTTTTTACAATAGATGTCGCTAAGTGCGCTTAAACGTGATTCATGTAAGTTGAATTTTCTGAGAGATAAACTTTTTTAATGTATTATAAATTATCATGTTTGTGTACGATAGCGCAATAAATAAATATTGTATTCTACCACATACATGATAGTACTTTTATACTGATAATTAAAGCAATTCGTGCAAAATTATTCCCTAACCATTATTATAGAAGATTCCAATTGTTTCAATTGACAGTAAAAAACGCAGCAAAAAATCACGTGTCTTAGAAAACTATGAACTAAAACTAAGAAATTGTATGAAGTTTCAGATTTTCATTTTATTATAAAAAAAATGATGATAATAATTGCAACTTTAATCAACAATTTGCAAATTGCTATCATAAGGTTTCTTGCTTGATAACAAAGTATGTTAGCAGTGTTTTAGTTTTTTCGAAGTGAAAACTTCTTTAGCGGCTATATACACTTTTTGTAATGGGTAAAAAATATTAAATTCGCGTCAGGGCACGTGGCCTGATCGAAAATTCGTAAGACGGATGGAGAGTAGACAGCCGGTGCGGCGTAGGAGAGGAAGTATCCCCCTCTCTTTCTACGGCGCGGCGAAAACGTATGCCTACGCCTGCTGTTTCGTTTAGGCGGCGCAGGGCGCTTGCGCGAATGTTCGTGTGTGTTTATGTTATAGCGTGCCACGCGCATCCATGGATGGTGACAGCTGATGGCTCGACCGTCTGTGTAGTTGCCACACTGCTGTGTATTGGTGAAATTCGTGTATATAAAGTGTTACTGATAATTAAAGCAATTCGTGCAAAATTGTTCCCTAACCATTCCAAAATATCAAAAATGCACAACGTTAATATTCAAGTTTTCACTTCTGCCGGTACTCCAGTAGTGCAACCCGTCGTTTTTTTTCTCATATTAATTATTATGAAACGCACTTTTTGTAGATATAACGTTGAGAGCTGTAAGTTTTATACTTTTTGAGGAAATCAAATCAGAGTTTCAAAGCACTAGCGGGTGGGTTATTTACGGTAGAATGTATTTAAAGTCAAAGAAATACCAGCTTAACATAATAATGATTCAGTTGGGAATCGAAGCCGAGAACTCAGTACTGGAATACCAAAGTCAAAGCTTATCATCTTACTAATGAAAAAAGTCCTCAATACAAACAATAAACTGACGACAAAATTCCATATATAAATTAATAAATAATAAATGATTGAATTTATAAAATACAGTAAAATCCAAAATATCTCACCGAATATATTGTCTTTCGCCAGCGCTTCTAAAACTCTCGACGCCCCTATGAGGTTTGACAATCCAGCAGAGAAAGTTGCCATTAGCATACCTTGAATAACAACAAATATCAAATGAAATACATCTCTTTTACACCTAAAATCAACGATATTAAATACCCTAGGATACACCACATGCGCTCAAAATGTGTCACAATCAAAAAGTGCTTGAACTCCACTCAAGCTCTTCTTGGTTCACAGTCACGCGCGGACCTTTGAAAAGTCAAGTTGCCGCAGAGGTCCGTGAAAAATGCGAAAAAAATACTTATAGTAAGTAGTGTCGTTTTTTTCGACAGGTAGGGCAAATTTTGTTCTAATACTTACTATAAACTGATTTAATAGAAAATATTTGTGATATTCAAATGCATTGTCGGTAATATAGCCGTCTCTTTTCCTCGCGGTTCGAACCTGCTATATTGCTAACAGCACATTCAGAATTGCGCGTAGAGCCAAAGATATAAGGTCTATATTCTTCCGCATATAGCAATAAGTCAATTTTACGAGCTTGCATGTCGAACTCTGACGCATGCGTTTTATTAACAACCTTATACATAAATGCATTCTCTTATAATGTTTATGACTACCCGATTATCATACGGAGCGCCGTGGATCGTCTATCCAAGGTACCTTTTGGACAAGTTTCGGGCACGATTTTGTTCGTGTTGGTGTATCTAGGGTATTAAATATCGTTGCTTTAAATGGAATTATCAACAAAAACATTTAAGTTACATCCAAGAAGAAAAACATTCATTTTGACTTTGCAATAAGGTACATTCAAATGGACCTTTTCCATACTTACAATGGTATTATTGACAGAAACATTTCGGTAACATAAAAGAAGAAAAATATACAGTATGACATAGCAGTAAGGTACAGGGACATTTAAAATATTTATTTTAAAGGCTGTGAAGGCTCCGCAACACAAATAAAAGTATTAAAAAGCACATTTTATAACCCGTTAAAAAAGTATTTTGTTTAACGAGTGGAGTGCGTGAAAATGTAAGAAACAAATAAGGTACAATTTCCAATGACTCACCCACAGCTATGAAAGGCGGCCAAACGTTTATAGGTAGCAAATAAACGTAGTTGTTTCTCAACAAATCTCTTGTGCAAGTCGCCGCAGTTAGAAAACTTAGCGCCACGTAAGATATCGCAGTGAATAGCAGAGCTGTTAGTGTGCCCATGGGTATACTTTTTGCTGGATTTTTCAGTTCACCTGCAAGCAAAAATTATTATATTAAAATTCATAATGATATTATATATGATATATGACGACCTCTGTGGCCGAGTGGTTTCTACGCCTGGTTTCATGGTGTCGCCGACTCGAAAGGTCCCGGGTTCGAATCCCGGTGTGGGGCAGATGTTTGTGTGATGAATACGAGCATTTGTACTCCAGTGTTTAATAAGTATTTCTATATAAATATACTTATATATGTACAATATATGTATTCTATCTGTTTAATAATACAGCGATAAATATTTATGCAAAAATTGACCTTAAACCAACACACTCACCGCTCATATTAGCTCCGGCCATCACACCCGTCACGCCCGTGAACAGAACCCCGAACACCGACGCGAAGTCCACCATAGTCCCGTCACTCGTGGTATAGTCCCGTCCGTAATCCGGATACAGATTCTCAGCAAACGTCACACTGCTGAGACCGGTGTAATTAAACTTGGTTGTGTTTACAAGGAGATTGGTGTCTGGCTTGTCGATCTAGGGGAAAAATATGTCAAAAACTTAAAACCGGAGAGTCTAAAATAATGACATTTAGATTCTAGCAGTTAAATGCTTAAAATAAAAGAATATAATAATGACATTTGATATATTTAAATAATGTTTCAATTGATAATTAGTAGCAGAAAATTATAATTTTTCAATTAAACATTAATAAATTTTCATCTGGCTATTCTGTTTTACGCGTTCTCATTCAAATCTGTCAAATTAGACGATTTACGAGTCATTAATACCATTTCATATTATATTCATTTGATGTTTCATGAAATACGTTGCCACTATTAAAAAATATACTTATTCTGAACAATATTAAACGTGCTATCTCGCTGATCAAAAGGTGACAAAGGGACCTTAATCACGGCAATGGAGGCCTTTCAATTACCAAAAAGCTGTTGTACCTCAATAATCGCAATACGCATACAGGTAAAATTATCACAGTGTGTGTACCTATTGCAATTATAAATACAGTAAAGTAAACTTCTAAAGTAAAAGAAAACCAAACACAAGAAACATGGTTTAATTCAAAAATTCCATTATGATTCAAATATTTAACCTTCTCATATAGTACGGAAGCTATGCATGGTCATAAAAGTTTACAATTCTAACTTATTATAAGAATCGAAATATTTTTTGTTTTCTTTTGTGTGTGAGCAATTAATAATTTATCTATCTACTAGCGGCCACCCGCGACTTCGTCCGCGTTAACTTTTTTATTTTCAAAATCCCACATGAACCTGTATTTTCTTTTAAAGTAACCTATGTCTCAAAGCAGATCAAAAACTATATATGTACCAAATTTCATCTAATTCCATTCAGTAGTTTTCGCTTGACTGAGTAACAAACACACAAACTGTCACATTTATAAATTGAAAGTTCGAGTTTGGATAAAACATTCACCTACCTCAGACGGCGGCGTCACCAAGAAACTGACGAAGGCGCTGGCCAAGCACACGAGCATCGTCAGCCATATAGCGAGGCTGGTGCGGGCGAATAACGCCGCCCCGGCCAAAGAGACGGCCAGACCCGCCGCATTCAGCATGGAACGGTAGGAGAACCGCCACCACCAGCTGTCGGGCAACCCTGTCGCCCCGCCCACCAGGTATCCTGACCCATGGAAAACATCATCAGCCTATTAATGCCCCCACTGCTAGGTTACTAGCCTTCCCTATATCATCAACACTATTGTGTCGAATAAAACGCGCAGACCCGTCACGTTCAGGGCCGAACGGTAGAAGAACCGCTACCACCAGCTGTCGGGCAACCCTGTCGCCCCGCCCAAAGGTATCCTGACCCATGACAAACATCATCAGCCTATTGATGCTCTCACTGCTAGGTTACTAGCCTTCCCTATATCATCAATACTATTGTGTCGAATGAAACGCGCAGACCCGTCGCGTTCAGGGCCGAAGGTAGGAGAACCGCCACCACCAGCTGGTGGGTGGAGTGGCAGAGTTGCCCGACAGCGTGGGTCAGGACCCATGACAATCACATATCATCAGACTATTAATGCCCCCCTGCCATAAGACAGAGAATGGAATGAGCAATACCTGCCGATCACTGTCTAGAGAAAGCGATTTCGAGCGGCAGAAAATTGTCAGAAACTCGACCGACCAGTAGTTAAGAGCGAATTTATCTGACAGCTGACTAAGGAATACTTAGTCCATTCTCTCCGTTGTCTACGTATTGTTCCCCCATTGCTAAGGCACAGGCCTTCCACTGCTAGGGCACTGATTTTTCTATTGATTGAGAAAGAATGGTAGACAGACAGCGCCTGCCGATTAATGTGTCCACTGCTAGGACACAGACCATTCCTATATCATTGCGAATCAAATGACACGTCCAGATCTGCAGCGTTCAGGACCGAACGGTAGGAGAACCGCCACCACCAGCTGTCGGGCAACCCTGTCGCCCCACCCACCAGGTACCCTGATCTGACCCATGACAATCATACATCAGCATTAGCCTAAATCATCAGCATTTGAATGTCCCATTGCTACGTAAAGATGGAATAGGGGGATTGTTCCATGACCCGCCCACACTACTAGAGTTGCCCGCCTTTCCTAGCCAAATTTGGCAGGAGCCTGTTAGTGCAGCCTTAGCTACTAGCTCTAAAATTAAACATACTGCAGTTCTCGACAGGCCAATTTTCAATTTGAATTAAAAGTAATCTAGAAGGATGGTTTTCACGGCATTTTGATTTGACGACACCTACAAACGAATAAATTGCTTGTGTGTATGGTTGCTCTCTCCTTGGGTACAGCGGTTACATACTTTGAGGTCCTTCCCACAAACCCATCGATAATACTCCTGCACACGACACATACTTTCCCAAGAATGCGTATCGAGCGAAAGTGCAGTTAATCTTAGCACGAACCAATATCGAATTCGAATAGTTTGCGAGTGCAAAATTTCACTGTCAAATGTGTACTGATATTTGATTCTCGTTACGTCCGTTATGGCGCTGCTGTTCAAGTTTCCATACAAAATTTGACTATGTCATTTCGCAATCGTAAACTCATCGAATTCGATATTGAATCGTGCTAAGGGTACAGGTTCAAACCGTGGGAACGTGCACACGTATACATAGAAAATAAACTGAGCATTCTCTTACCTACAAAATTGAAAAACTTGGCAGATTAACTGTAAGACAATCTATTGTGATCCATCTATCTGTTATCGTTCCTGTATGTAGCAAGTGTTATTTTTTCTCTTTCAAGAGGATTGATAACTCAAGAGTGTCGCTCAATCTATTCTCAACATAAATCGTCAAAGTCGTACTTAGAAAGAGAAAAAATAGGCGCAATCCGTAATCACTCTTATTAACACTCACCATTAGGTCCAAAGTTCTCTACCATTGCTTCAGTGCAGGCCGAAATGCAGAGAGCACTAGACGCTACGTTTGCAAAGAAAAATAGCGTTCCAATGGCACCACCGAACTCTGGTCCCAGGGTTCTACTTATCATAACTGGAATTGTGTTAAGGATATTGTGAACGAATGAGCTTAGAGGTGCAAATCGCTTGTAATCGATCTACGTAGTTTTCAGAGATTCTTTCCATTAAATAAAACTAGTTTTTACGGGTTATTGCACGAAACTTTATTTATTTATTGACGTTTCGTAGCCTTTACAGGCTTCGTCGTCAGAATAAAACTTTTATTTAATTTGTCGAGCTACCTTCGAAAGACTTTTATTGAGCGTTTGGTTATTTCATTGTTCGATTTTTAAGTTTTATTGTCTATGTATGAATTTATTATTTAATTTACTTAATAAAGTATTTTATTTCAAATTCTTTTTTGTAATTTTGAGATTATTTATTTATTTACGGTAGTTAACCGTAAACTACCACCGGTTCCGAAATTGGGAGACCTTTCTGAGAAGAACCGGCGAAACAAACTCAAGAGAGGCTTTCTATCTCCTTCTTATGTTAAATTATGCAAACAAATAGAACTAATAGTATCTGATGGTCTTGCAGTGTGTGCTTGGGGTTGGGATTTTATCTCCTGTATAATAGGTTCCCAAGCTGGTGGTATATACCAACCATCTTCCCTATTGAAATTTGGATATTTTTTAATCTCAATAGCCTCGCGCATCATTCGAGAAACGTCAATAAATAAATAAAGTTTCGTGCATTAACCTGTAAAAACTATTTTTATTTAATGAGTGATGTGCGTGAAAACCTAAGAAACAAATATTCTTTCCATTATTGAATTCGAATCTTAAACGAATCTCGCATTCAATTAACTACACCAATTGAAGTTTTCATGCAAATTACACTTCATTATTACAAGAGTTTTATAGCATGCAGCAATTCGAACAACTCGTCTGCTACAAGCGGACTGTGCAGTCGGTAAAGACTGCAAATGACTACAGTTTTGTAAGTTGGACTATATAACAATGCAGTCCGTCTATAAATAAAAGATTTTATGCGTAGTAAAGCTGGATTTCGTATATTTTAAGCTAGCCTAGTGAACCTTTATATAGGCATCAAAATTTTACAGGGAACAAGTATTTTTTTGCAATATTGTTTTTTCTATCTAATATAAAATTCTCGTGTCGCGGTGTTTGTGGTTAAACTCCTCCGAAACGGCTAGACCGATTCTCATGAAATTTTGTGTGCATATTGGGTAGGTCTGAGAATCGGACAACATCTATTTTTTATCCCCCTAAATGTTAAGGGTAATCCACCCCTAATTTTTTTTTTATTTTAGATATTTTTTTTTTCATTTTTTTTGACACATCATACAAAAATACATGCAACCCTAAATTTTCACCCTTCTACCACCAACCCCTATTTTTATATGGCGGTACGAAGTTCGCTGGGACAGCTAGTATTATATAAGTTTTCAACGCATCCCTACTCTTTTGGCCAATTGTAAAAATTTACAGCGGCGTATATTATATGATGTGTAATCAAAAACAACAGGATAATATTTTACATTCTTTCAAAACAAATCCAGAAAACCAAAAGGATACAATACACCCCACCCCCCTCCACCGCCCCATTGGTAGAGATGGCGCAGATGGAAGTCACCGTGAACACGACGATCAAATACGCCAGGCCGAACTGCCCGAGCGTCACAATCAATCCCGCGTTACCTACCAAATAACCTGCAAACAAAGAGGCCATTTACTTTGTCAAAATTTCATATTGATTGGATTCATTCAGGGAAGAGCACGATGGTGCATGTGGTTAGCGCGTGGCTTACGATCGTGGAAGTTAAGAAACTTTCGCAATGGCCGGTCAATGGATGGGTGACCAAATACTTATTGTCTAAAGCAGGGTTTGTAACCGGTTTTGAAAATACCGGTATATAAAGGTTAATACCGGTATTTAATAAAGGTTTCGTTCGGAGCGCGTCCGAAATGAAAGCGGTACCTAAAACCTTAATAAACCGGTTTAATCCAGAGCGACACGTGCACACGTCGGTATCGCTCGAAGTTTGTTTTGTTTGATCTAAACAAGTCACAACTTGTTAATGCTCAGAGATTAATGCATTTATTGACACGTTTGCTAGCGTTTACGAAGTCAAGTTATTCATTTTGTAATTGTGTACTGACACACTACTTCACTCACTCGCTCTGTAGTTGGAAAGAAACTGACATAAAATCATTTTAAATTTAATACAAACGGCGAAGGCGATGCCGTCAGTAAGAGCGAAATGAAACCCTTTAAAAACCGCTAAATTTATTCAAAACCTATTTGATTTCGCTTTTTAGGAAAACCGGTTTTTTAAGGTTAAGGTAGAGCCAAACCTAAATAAAACGCTCCTCGTGTACTTGATACTGATTTAGGTTTAAAATTTAACCGGTAAACAAGCCCTGGTCTAAAGCTCCGCCGTGCTTTCGAAGGAACGTTGAGCTGTTGGTCTCGGCTGCATCTGCAGTCCTTAGCACTTAGCAAGGCTCGAATGATGGATTATAAGCCCAATCTCCGTATTTCATCCATAGGGAATGCATGTGCTCCAGCATTAGAGGTACATTAATAGGCTGGTTATGGTGGATAAGATTCATCATCCTATTGATGTCCCCACTGCTGGGGCACAGGCCTGCCCTATAGATGACATATGAAGAACGAACCATAACCAACCACGCGGGCCCAGTATTGATGACTGCAGACGCTGCCAGGACCAACGGATTTACGTGTCTTCCGAAGCACGAAAGTGGTCGAGGTAATAAGGTTTAGGTCAGCCATCCAATGACCAGCAATTGTGAAAGCTACTTAAGTTCTACGATTCTACGAGGTATTTGTCATTCAATAAACAGAGACAAACCATGGATTAACTAACTTTTTTTTTTCTTAAAGCATGTAACTGCTTGATGTTTAAATCTAAAGAAAATATAACTAAAATAGTTCCACGCAGACCAGGTAGCAGACGGGACTCGAACCCGCACCCTTCGCAATCCGGGCGAATGCACTGACCAATTATGCTACCGCGGCCCTCACGGACCAATGTTACCTATAATGCGAAGAGATGGCGCTACCTTGCTGCTAAGAATTGCTAGAGGAATTTCGACGCGGTTCGTTATATTTTCTTTAGATGGATTAACTAATCCAAGATTATTCTGCGTTTATTAATAAGGAGGTATAAGTACTCTATTCAACGTCCACTGAGACAAAATGTTAATAAACGACCTAAATCTGCAGCTATTCCCAAACTTTGAACGCATTTTAAACTACTAAATTGAAGAGTATTGATAAAGCAAATAGTTATATACGTTGAAATGCGGAATGTTGTAATCAGTCTGGTTACATTAGCTATCTTTTATAAATAAATATTTCCAACACTCACACCAATTAGCCTAGCCCCAAAGTAAGCGCTTTAAGGCTTGTGTAATGGATGGACTAGGGCAACCGATAGAATACATATACAGTACATTTAAAAGTTTGTTTATATAGAAATACATATTAAACATCCATGACTGGGGTACACATGCTCGTATTCATCACACAAACATCTGCCCCCACCGGGATTCGAACCCGGGACCTCTAAGTCGGCGAAACCATGAAACCCGGCCTACAAACCACTGGGCCATGGAGGTCGTCATATTCATATCATTTACCCTCGACAAAAAAGTTTTAGAAACATTGATTTATTTGTTCACCTTTTGGCTCAGAGGAAGCTGAAAAGAATTTAGCAGCTGCGAATGCCTGACAGTCAACCGTCTGTGACGACCCCCCCCCCCCCCCCCATATTTCATCGCCACAAGGTCGGATTGCGTGGCATCTTATCGTAGCCCGATTATTCACGCTCTCACAATGCACAAGTCCTTGACATTGTGTAAACACCTAAATAGGCGTGGCGTGTAAACAAATAGAATACATTGTTGCATTTCGTAAAAATTGGATAGGTATTTCTGCCTTCCTATAACGCGACCGTGGGTTGACTTTTTTCGTTTTAACCCATTGCAAAATCATCAGACACCAATGTCATATGAAATTAAGTGACACTGATGTTTGCAGAAACTGCAATGAGGGGCTGTTCAAGTATTACGTAAGCACTATAGGGGGGCAGGGGGGTCTTTGCTTTGCTTATTTTTGATGACATCGGGGGGTGAGGGGTAGAGAAGGTGATTACGTCAGCATCATCGATTAAGCCTTTTTAAGTACTGCTGCTCATGAAGCTCATGAAAGCTCATGAAGCAATAAAAAAAAACAGAATACATTAAAGGAAAAATGCATATAGGTACCAATGTTTACGTAAGGATGGGGGGGAGGGGTAAGAGCTTTGCTTACTTTTGCTGACGAGGGGGAGGAGGGGGTAAATAATTGTAATAAATCTGCTTACGTAATACTTGAACGGCCCCTGTGGAGCGATGATACTAGGAAGCTGTCGGGCTGATAGAGACACAATAAATCTTTTACGTCACATAGCCCCAAAAAAAAATTTTTTTTAATTGAATCTAAATGGAAAAGTCCTGTGGAACGGATGAAACGGAAATGCGTCACGAGGTGGACCATGGCAGGTCACTCTAACGAATAAACAGACTTTATTATTTAATTTACTGGACAAATAACAGAAACAGCTTCTGATGACAGCCGTGTGACGTCACATGTTTGTAAGACGCCTTCGAACTTATTAACAGGAACTTCGTAGAATAATTGGTATTCTGAGAAGATAGAACGTGTGTTTCAATGGTATTCTAAGAAGATAGAACATGCGTTTCCTTGCTAATAATAATCAAAAACCAATTCTTACCCATACGAATAAATATCAAGGCGCTAAACATGGACAGCACTACGGGACAGAACACCCCAGCGAAGGTGCCAACCTTCTTGACGCCAGGCCTCTCTGCTCGGAACTCTCCGAACTCCACATAACCTGTGGTAAATTAATCGTATCGTTTATTTCATCATCATCACCACTGCTGGGGCACAGGCCTTCCCTATGGATGGAATAGGGAGATTGGGCCATGACCCACCACGCGGGCCCAGTGCGGATTGGTGGGTGCTAACGACTACAGATGCAGCCGGGACCAACGGCCTAACGTGCCTTCCGAAGCACGGAGGGGCTCGAGATAGTAAATGTTTGGTCACCCATCCAATGACCGACCACTGCGAAAGTTGCTTAACTTTAACGATCGCAGCCGAACGCGCTAACCACTTGCGCCATCGAGCTCCTCGTTTATTTAGCTTTCTTTTATTTGTATTTTTTAAATGTTATAAAAGGAGAAAAAATATATACTTTTAACTATCTAAAGTTAAAGATCATTTTCTCAAACAGAAATCTCAAACTTAATGAATCATTCTCACGAAGTATCTTGTTTATTATTAGTATTTATTTATCAGGCTTATATGTATTATATAATGTGTATGTATATATATGTAATGTGTATAGTATATATATATATATATATATATATATACAACTTTTATTTATTAAGTCTATTTCCTATAACAGTAGTAATAAATTTTTAGTTTAATTTTTATTGCACTTTCTGTTTCCCGCTAAGTTTTGAATCTCCGACACCACCTAGGTTGGCTGGAAGAGATCTCTTTTAGAGATAAGCCCACCTTTGCTTACTATCAGTGTTTCCACAATGAGGGGAAATCCCCCTTTTAAGGGGAAATTAGGATCCAGAGGGGAAGCAAAAGGGGACAGACATAAAAAGGGGAAATTGCGGGAAATTATGGGTAAAGCCTAGCCTAAAATAATGCGGCACAGAACAATTTTTTTATGGACTTTATCGTGGATTAGAGTGTTGCCGTATAAAAGAAAATGTGGCAACACGTGCAGATTTTATATATTTTATTTATCTGTTATAGAATAAGATAGATTAAGACCTTTGTTTTTTTTTAGTTAGTACACTAGTGCCAAATGTAAACACTATATCAGAATATTTTTTGAGGGGAAAAATGTCCTAAGAAGGGGAAATCTGAATTGAGGCGTGGGGAAAGGAAATCATTAAAGTGGAAACACTGCTTACTATGTATTTGACTATATGTTTTAAACTATATGATGCAATAAAGAGTATAAATAAATATGTTAACGTGTTTTGGACATACATTGGGGGCTGGGATTTATTTTATAAGCCGGGGTCTAGTTGAAAACCAGCGTCAGCTCTTTGAGCTGACACAATGCTGAACTTGGATCCTATTTGGCGCAGGCAAGCACTTTCTACCTAGTTTGCATTATTTACCCTTTTCTGTTTTTCGTAATACATTTTTCTTTTCTATTGTTAAAGATATTCCTTTATATAATTGCATTTCACTTCACTTTATAAAATTTAAGCCTACTATGTCAAATAAAATAATTTTGATTTTGAATTTGAATATCTTCTATATAAATCGCACGTATTTAATTTTTTATCTAATTTGTAAGGAGGAACCGTTTTGACATGCGTTAGGGGAAGAGTTTTTTTTTTAAGTCTTTGAGCTGACACAGTGCTGACACAATGCTGAACTTAGATCCTATTTGGCGCAGGCAGGCACTTTCTACAAAATTTGCATTGTTTAATTACCGATAACTTTGTTTTTCGTAACACATTTTTTTTTTGTATTGTCATATATATTCATTTTATGTATTTGCATTTTTATTGATAATATACCTATTTTAAGACTATTGTGTCAAATAAAATTATTTTGATTAGATTGGTTTCATTTAAAATTATGATACAACTAACAACACCATTATAATCCTAATATCCTACTTCCTACTATCCTCATCACCAGCCTATTAATGCCCCCACTGCTGGGGCACAAGCCTTCCTTATGGATGGAATAGGGAGATTGGGCCATGATCCACCACGCAGGCCCAGTGCGGATTGGTGGGTGCTAACGACTGCAGATGCAGCCGGGACCAAAGGCCGTGTGCCTTCAAAAGTGCCTTCGGAGCACGGAGGAGCTCGAGATAGTAAAATTTTGGTCACCCATCCAAGATCAACCACTGCGGAAGTTGCTTAACTTCAACGATTGCAACCGAACGCGCTAACCACTTGCGCCATCGAGCTCCTCCTCCCACTATCCTATCCTACTTCTTATCCTACTAATATTATAAATGCGAAAGTTTGTATGGATCTTTGTCACGTATTTTTAACGGCTTATAACGGCTGAAAAACGAAATTGGATGAAAGGAGATCCGCACAAAACTTGTAGTGACTTATTTTTACATGCAGCGCCTATAAACTTATATGGGCAAAAAAAATATGTTAGCATCCGAATTTAGCAAAAGCGAAACTTCAGGATATTTTTAATATTTTTTCACTAAAATCAGGGTTATATTTCTTTGGCGCCTTTGGTGGGGCAATTTGGTATGGAATTTTGTGGATTTTCTTTAGCATGTTATATTTTATCATCTAGATTGACACATACATACTTACCTTTTATCGAGAAAAAATGTTAAGTGCCTGTGAGATTCTCATAAAGTAACTCAGCCGAGTGTAGTGAAATCCTAACTAATATTATAAATGCGAGAGTGAGTTTGTTTACTCAATCACGCAAAAACTACTGAACAGATTTTTTTTAGTAAAACTTTTCTTTGAAATAAAAAAAAAATTATAACCTGGATACACATATGATACTTTTTCTTACGAATAAATGTAACCAAACTTTTTTCCTGAAGGATTTTGAAAAAAATCAAATTAACGCGGACCATGTCGCAGGCGGCCGCTCTAGTATAAATATAATAGGAAGAAGAAGAGACACCTCTTTCTTCTTCCTTTTATATGTATGTAAAATAAAAAATAATTTTAAAACGAAACAGATAGCGCTAAAAAGAGTGGTAAAAGAGACAGGAAATAGATAAGCATTGGGAAAGGAAATCGCTCCTAACTTAATGAGGGCTATCGGGTATGAATCCGCCGCTAGAGGCGCTAGTGTAGCGTGAGGTCTCCGAAATGTCAAATGTTATTGCTTGTTGGTTGACTACGCGGGTTTATTTCTAATTAAAATAATGTTGTGAATAATTGGTAACAATTCGGCTTAATTATGGCAAATATGAGTTATGTGGCAATGAATGTCAGTTATTAAAAATTTGAGCTTAGAAAAATGATTATGTTCCCATTTTTTCCGAATAAAACGGAACTGCGCGTCACTGTGGCATGGCCTATTATGTTTAGGATATGGTTCTTTTGTGTTAAAATACGATCTAAATGTAACCTTTGATTTCATGCGCGTATTAATAAACTTTAAAAGTTACAATTTAGGACCTCACTCAACAGTGGCGCCATCTGGTGAGGCAGAAAACGGTAGCCCTCATTGAATGAGTTCAGGATGCGTGAAAACTTTGGATTATTATCATGTAGTGGGTTCCATACTCAAATCTAATGCATATAGAAAGAATATAATTTTGAAGTTAGTCGAAATGAAATGTAAAAATCTATACTTTCCTGTCCATACTTATATATAAATTTATTGTAAGCATAAATGCACTATATTTGAAAGTTCAACATTTTTAAAATAAAAAGAGGTAATGGTGTTGATTCTGGCATGATTTTCTTAACTTGAAACTAAATTTAACATCAGTCTCTCCTTTTCATTCTGTATAGAGAGTGACAAGGACGCTGTTATATACACCGTGTTCCTGAGGATATACATTAACTTTAAATAATACTTCTATAGCTCTTGTTAAACATATCGTACAAGGAAAGTAGTACTTTAAATAGCATAGTTTTTAAGTTATTGGTAATTTAAGTTTAACCAAATTAATTGTGTTGTGCAGTGAGAAAGAGTCTTTATCTGTGAGATGTTGCCACTTTGTGCAACCAAATCTATCAAACTATCAACTCTTTCTCAATGGTCATTAAGTCATAGTTTCAAAAGTCAAAATTTTAAAAAATATTGTTGACGTCAAGAAAAGTTTAAAAAAAATTATGTGGACATGTGAACCAAAGTTTCAAATGCGACATTGCCAGTTCAGGTAAAGAGTAATTCATATTAGATAAATTATATCTAAGCATTTAGTTTGTATGAAAATAAAAAATGTTAAAGAAATTGGTATTCATAAAAGTGTCCATAGTAAAAAAAAATCAATTTAATAGTCTGAATAACATGCCAAAGTTAGTGTGTAACCTCAGGAACACGGTGTATACACTGTTATCAAATTTAAGTTTAGGTTTTGAGAATCATGCCAGAATCTAAAAGGAAAATCGAAATTAGTAGCTAGTGGCTTAGGATTTTATTTGAAAATAATATTTTTAACTTCTTTTTTTTTCAAAATAATTTTGTTAAGAATCCTGTCGTGTAGTGGCCATCTACGTGAAATTGATAGAATTGTGTGAAATTGGGTCATTAAGAAAGAAATAAGAAGCTTATTTGCACGTGCCTTACTTTTTAAAAGCTTACATAGAAACATAAATTAACTTTAAACTTTGATTAAAGTTGGTTCTGCTGTTGTTGGTTTCTTTTCTTTAGCAACGGAATCTTATAATCTAATATATAAAATTCTCGTGTCAATGTTAGTTACTATACTCCACCGAAACGGCTTGACCGAATTTTATGAAATTTTATATGCATATTCAGTAGGTCTGACAATCGACTACTATTTATTTTTCATGCCCCTAAGTGATGGCTTTTCCACCTTAACATATTTTTTCTATTTTTTTTTCTTTTTTCATAATATGGCATTAAAAATACATACAACCCTTAATTTTCCCCCTTCTACCACCAGCCACTATTTTATGCCGGTACGATTTTCGCTGGGTCAGCTAGTAAGACAATAATAAGACCGCGTGGATTTTTTCATAGTAATATTTTCTTTAGATTTATAACTAACTAGTGGCCCGCCCTCGCTTCGCTTCGGTGTAGAGCTGTAGTGTAAACTATAGTTTTTGTTCTCAGGCTTGTGCTATAAACAATGACTTTATTTATATAATTACACGTGTT